TCATTCGCACGGAAGCACCCAAGCAGTTGAGATGGTAATGAACATTATAACATGTTAGTTTTGCCATAGTAGATTTGCGTTATGAATGAATGTATATTTGATCAGTCAATAATAGTGTAGGATAAACAGTATTCTTCATTTGAGTTTTAAATGGATAAATTTTTACATTTTTAATAATGATTACATTTGGTGTCGTGTGTGGCGTCGTTAACACGAGGGCCAGAACCGTTATGTCGGTGAAAGTGCGCTGCGGGGGAGGAAGGGGTTGAGCCTGAACGTCCGGGATTTTGCGCTCTGGCGGTTGACTCAGGTAGAGCTGCAGAGCCAAAAATAACCTTAGGCTGCAAACTCCTAGGATGCTAGCCAGCGAGCCCTCGCTTGCCGACAGCAAGCGAGCCTATATAGGGAACAGTGGTGGGGGGTATAGCCCTCAACTATTTAACGCGGCGCCATCTGCGCCCGCGTTCTCATTCAGTTTACATCGGAGAGCGTTGTACGTGTAGGTACAAGGAGTGTAGGAGTGTGGGCGAGATGTCCGGAGTGTAAGGGCCAGACGATCTCGCGTGCTGTAGGCACACGGTCGCCACGACCGGTTTAAATTTTGGCGTCAGGCCATGTGACGGTAATTGTCACGGGACGGAAGTCCGACAGCTCGCATCACGCGTGGCTTTTATTTTTCTGCGGTAAAGCAGGGTACAGGAAGGAAAAGGTTGCCGGAGTGTTTAGAATTAGCAATTTATTGTAACTAGTCTGCAACTTTTCAAAATACTATTTTTATTTTGTTATTTGAATTTATTTCTCATTTCACTACGTCACACGTGTAGGCATTTCCAGTTTAAAAATATGTAGACTTCTTTTTCTGGGATTTACACGAGGTTAGTTCCGTATTGGGGATTTTAAATTGTTAATTTAAAGGAAATATTAGTCGCGAATAAAGATTTCACCCGAAGCCTAGCGAGAAAAAGTCTCGACGCGATAAAAAGCTGATGTAGAGATTTCCGAAGAGCGGTCTAAATAAATGACAACAATCGGGAACATTTAAAGCTAACACGGACATTAGGTTTACAAATTACACAACAGGAGGACCCAGAACATCCTCTTTTGAAGAACACGGTGGTATCGAATAAACCGAGAAGACATTCCGTAAGCTTTCGCACTAAAATCAAAGCCGTGCGGTTTAACAAAGTTCAAAGGCCATAGAATCATTAATTAATAATGAGCACGAAAGTTGTTATTAGAATTTTACAATAAATGTTAATTGTTGTTTGAAAAGAGAAGCCTGGCATTTCTTTGAATTTGCATCAATTCAGTAAGTACTAAATTCCACAGAAGCTCCAGGAATCGTGATTTCTGTACAGAGTCTGACATCCACGTGCAACAGGTAATATGACCTACAACTTTGTAGGTCAAACTCGTGCAAAATCGTAAAGAAAAACAGAGATAGTCAAATTATGAGTCATTAGAGCAATTAATTTACGAGCATAGCAGGGCAAATTGAAGAATCATAAAAACGTTACGAATGGCTACCTATCTTGGGGGATGATAAAATAAATATAATTAGTAATATCCAATTAATGCAGGTTACAAAATGACTGTTGAACGAGGGCAAAATAATCGTGAGTAATAATGTAGGTTACGATATATATATATATATATATATATATATATATATATATATAAAGTTCACGAACAATATAGTAATTAAAATGAGTAATATATAATACTCATTTTAATTACTATATTGTTCGTGAACTTTATAAATAATTTGTGGGTTATTTTGTACACATTTTTTCTTCTTGTCTTTGAGCTCCGCAACTATCCTAGGTAGCACACAAAGTGGGCTTTAAAAAGTTAAAACATATTTACCAATATTTCGATTTTCAATAATTGGCCTACTACGTTTACTTATTAATAAATAAAAACAGGGAAAACCTAATATATTTAATATTAGGCTTTAGAATGCATATTGGTTTGGTGTGTAATGTACTGTAACAGCACAATGTTATTTAATTTAATTTTAATAATAAAAAAGGCCGTTCAGCAGCTGAGAAAATAAAATTATTTTCAAATTCTCATCTCGCTATGCAAAACCGCGAGGAACATCGCTGCCAGGAATTGCGCAGGAATAAGAAAAAGTTGTGGTCGCCTTATCCAGAGCGAGGAACGGAGACCCTTTTGTATTCGCAAAGAATATGAAACAAGGGTCGTGGCGTCAGCAGATATGCGGGCGGATTAGCGAGGCAGAGCCGCGCGTCACTAGCCGTTTCAGGAAGGCGCAGTGAAGTGGCGCCAGCAACCGGGAAGGGCCAAGGTCACGGCACCCTCCATCCTGTGCCTGATTGTCCGGGGGGTCACCGAGTTATGTGCGAGGGAGAGGGCCCGCGGAGCCCTTAAATACCGCGGGCCGACGTTCTCAGATCTACTCATTTAAAGTGTTCACTGAACTGCTTCTCATTTGAAAGTTTCTCCAGTCGACTGCTAACTCGGAATATTCTCCAGTCTGTTATTTATTCGATACATTCACCGGTCTGCTTATCCACCAGTATATTTCCTCTCAAAAGTTTTATCGAATCAAACTGATTCAAAGTTTACCGAACTTCGGTTAAGTAATGCTCGTTTCAATGGGCCGTTGTGTTTCCCGTGAGCAAGTTCGCGTCCAGGCGAACGGGCGAATGGGAGCGCAGTCGACCGCGGAAGACACGTGGCGTCTCCCCGGGGACACTGCTCTCGCATGAACCGCCTCACCGCTGAAGGAGACGATTGAGGCCGCTGCGCCCACGCGAATCTACGGGAGCCGAGACACTTGGGCGTCAACGCCGCCATCACAGCGGCAACGCGCCACCTCGATGAACAATGCAGCGAGATTGCACCGAGGGCGGAACTACTATTGAACAGTGAGAGAAAGAGAATTGATTCATTGAAATATTTAAATGTAAATTAGTAAGTCTCAACTGACATTAAATTCTTGTAAACCAACGCGGTATGTTATTAGTAGAATCCCCGGCCTGCATGCGTCCCCTCTCCCCGTCAAAATTTCCAGGCCAAAAGCAGCGTCTGACGACTGGTAGGCGATGGAGCCGGGCGACCTCCATCGCAGCGAGGTAGATCTAAGCGACGGGCTACTGTACTACATTAATTTTTGACTTTCATGTTATTTAATCACGAAGCGATAGTTTGTGACAAATATTTCGGCATTCAAAAAACTCCACTGAAGTATATTCAAATACTTGACATATGATTTCACAAAATTGCAGATAAATCAAATTTAAAACTGATTTACTGAAAACTACATTTGCAATATAACCTCATCCTTCAATGCCTTCAACAGTACGGTGGTGAAAAAAACTCGCTGTCAAAATTATTCTCTGATTGATTTTTTAAGTGTTTGTCGTTCTGTCCTATAAAACATTGTTTCCCCATTTTAATGATGCTTTTGACATTTTCATTTCTCGTATTAATAATTGTATTACAAAATTACAAGATAACAAAAGTGAAATCTGTTAATAAACTTTTCAAAAGAAATGTGATATATGACTGTTGAGCCTTTTGAACCAATTTCTTATCATTCAGATAAGCTTCTGGATTCTTAACACTTCACACCTATATCAACAGACATGTGATAAATTGATTTTCTATCGATGATATGTTCGAATGTACTTCACAGTTTCATTTCGTTGTCCCATTTTGTTAAATCACGTTTAATTGTTCCCAAAGTACACAATATGTTAATCTCACAGATCAATCTTTAACAGCCGTTAAATTTAGGAGTATCGTCTGCCGATTAATTAATTTTGTTCTGGGTATTTCGAATATACATTCATTGTTTTCATAATACATTGGGTTTTGTGAGTACTCACATTATTATCCAATTGCACTATTTTTCATTTCTGACAGAAAACGATATTCAGGATCTATTTTTTGTCGAAGTCAAATAGGGCTTTTTGGATTTTAAAAATAAAGAATTGCCTCCGATTCGTGAGGTAATAGTTGTAATAAAACATACATTCCTGGCGATAACCTTGGTGTAAAATATGATTTCTTATGATGTAATCGCCTAAGATCCACGAAAAGGATTAAGTGTAGTGGTTTCTTGAAATGCATTTTTCTTAGTAAGACTGATTTCAAAGAAACACATTACATGTAAAATAAGAATTGTTTTAATTCCATCCAAAAGGTTACATTTATCTTTTGTAAACCCAGTTATTTGGACATAATTTCGTTATAAACTTGTAACACTATTGCCCTCTTAAAACACTTTATTTCGAAGGAAAATACTGTTTCATGAAAATGTATGTTATAATTAGTTTATTTTTACACTAACTCAAATATCAGGTCTAATTTATGATAATAAATTACTTGATAGTTTTCCACATCAATAAATGAAGTTGACAGCACGAGTAAGGCTCGTATTATGTGATGTAAACTGTTTCAGAACGAAGTTTCAATTGAACTCGGATGGGTCAGCCTGATGCCCGAGGAAGGTTAAATTAAGAATTTATTAAGAATTAAAACCTTTCTCAAGTTACTCATTTGTAATGAGATGTCCTCTCTGTGATGTTAAGTATTAGCGACGAGCGGTATCAGGCCTTCGTAAGTGAAAAATAAGCCGAAATATGCAGAACACGTGACTTGATAGATCAATACAGAACAAACAGTTTTGGGCAAAAGCTTCCGCCATCATCATCCTTGTTTTCTTCACCTCTTCCTTTTTCTTCCCTTCTTATTTTCCCCCTATCTTCTTCTCTTCTTTTTCTTCTTCTCTTCCTTCTCCCTCTCCTCCTCATCCTCATCCTCTCTCCCAGATGTCCCAGTTAACACCAATGCTCCGTTGCATGCAACGGGCGCGTGCAAACTCATTAACTTGCAGCTAATAAAAAAATTGACAGACAACAAATCACAGATCTGGTCTAATGACAATGATGAGTAGATATTTCAGATCCCTAAAACATCCTTAGCGCTTTTGTATCAATGTTACCTGCGATGTTTGCGTTTCATTGCAGCGAACGGAAAGGCGGTGGACGCGACGCAGGAGCTGCTGGCGACAGGACTGAGCAACTTCGCCAACTCGTTCGTGCAGGCCTTCCCGGGCACAGGCGCCCTCGCCCGCAGCGCCGTCAACAACTCCAGCGGCGTCCGCACCACCTTCGCAGGCTTCTACACTGGTGAGGCGCGTGGCATATAATAATGCATTTGTTTGGGGGTAGATCAGGATCATCTCACTTCTAATGTCACTTTGATAACATTTGTTTCATTGATTGATGATTCCGGGCGCGTCGACTAGAAGACATTAGACACATATTTTTAGTACATGTTTTTTATCGCGGGAGGTGGCAGTGATCTTTCCCATTGGATGACTAGATCCGGCGGCGACTACCCGTCGTCTTGCGAGGATTTCTCTCTTCCGGTATCTCCACCAGCGGGGCACCGTCCCAGCCCGAGGCAAGCTCTAAGATCCCAATTGGTCTTCAGACGTGTGTGATATGTAATGTCTTAGTGCATGTGTATGTGTGTGTAAGGATAGGACAGGGAAGAAGAAGGAAAGAGCGCGCGGTCGGGAGCCCGTTTGTTAGGGTACTCTCCCACATTCCCCTGACCTTGATCGGAGAACTTACGAAAAACTACCGATCAGAGCACCCGGCCGCTAGAATTCTCCAGGCAGCGGCTGAATTCGATCTAGCTTTGCAGTTAGTGTCAAAAATCCTGCTACCGTCGATACTCGAATCCAAGGACCTCCCGATTAGAGGAACTGACGTGACTTGTATCGATACCCTCAGCCTCCTAACGGCCCATTATTCTGGATCTGTATTATCCACAACAATAATGTCACTTTTATTGCTTGCCATGCTACGACTTACAATCACAATGCATCACAGTCACAATCTCACGTTGACCACTCAGAAATTGACCACAATTGCAATGGAACTTTAAAATATAACTATTTTTTCAATTCTTCATAAAATGTTACAATTTTATTACACCAAAAACTGATAGCGGCGAGCGTTAAGGTTTGAACGTACCAGTGATAGATCGCAGACTCGATCACGGTAGACACTTTTTTGATATGTTTAACATCGGTGAGTTTGTGGCGCCTGCCGGAATAAAATTAAAAGTCCCTCTCCTCTGATCACTTCCAGCTGAAAGGAGCATCACCCTCGAACACAGGAAACTGTCCACGCACGATCTTACTTTCTCGTTTTCTGACCGCAGCCTCATCCTTACGACCGAGCGATGGGACGACCTCCCATCTCATTATTCGGAAATATTCCAACAAGCGTTGGAGTTCCGGAAAAAAGTGTCAAGCTGTGCCCCCTAGACACTAATTGTGTGAAACTAGAACAAAAAGTCAATTTTCATTACAATTTTATTTGTCTTCTTAAATTCCTGAGACCTGCAACATAACGGATAATACTTGAAGATCTGTTAATTAAATTGAAAGTAATCAGAAAAGTAACCTTTGAAAATTTAGAACTAGTAATGTAATAATTTCACTCAAATTGTGAAGCAGTTTTTCACAATTAAAGGAAAGGCTAATACCGTTTAAAACATTCCACGTCATTACCTTCTTCTTCTGCACTTCAAGGATTAGGCGGCTGCCTGTTCCGTCTTCACATATCAAACCATCTTCTGCGTGGCCTTCTTACACTTCTTCTTCTTTTCTTCTTCTTCTTCTTCTTCTTCTTGGGTTGTACTGCAGCACTTGTTTAGGTACCCTATTGTGCTCCATTCGTTCTAAATGTTTTTTCCAGACTTGTTTGTATAGTTGTATACAATCATTTAGACTAAATATATTTATTTTCTTATATCTTCATTTCTTTGTTTGTCTAGCAAAGTACATCCTTTTACTCTCCTTAAAATTTCATCTCTGTAGCTTGAATATTCATTTTTTTCTTTTTGAGAGAGAATCCAATTTTTACTCCCATATGTGACTACTGGTGTTGCCATTGTTTTATAAAATTTTAACATCGTGTCTTTTCTAGTCTTATTTGTTAATGTTTTATGTGCCGCATATATATTGGAACGTATGCAATTTATTTTTTATATTTTGGCTTCGGCCGTAACTTATATCACACCCCATGTAATTCAAATGTGATATTTGTTCTATTGTTTGGTTTTCCAGGCATATCTATGTTCTAATTGGATAAACTTCTTTAAAAGCCATGACCTTCGTCATTTGTTTTGATATTTTCCTGTTATAATTTTTACACATTAGATTTAATTGATGTAGTGCCATTCGAAGATCATTTTCCTTTTCATACATAACTTGGTCATCAGCAAATAGCAGAGTATTAATATAATTAATTCCGTTCAATCTGATCCCTTGTTTTACTTTTAATTCCCATTCTCTAAGAATATCGCCTATATAGATGTTAAATAATATTGGGGAAAGGCTGCAACTTTGTTTTAATCCTTGGTTAGTTTTCAATGGTTGTGATTGATGTGATTTTATTTTTATTCGTATTTTTGTATTTTTGCATAAACTTTTAGCTATGTTTATTAAATGTTTTGGAAAGCCTCTTCGATCTATTGTGGTCATCTTCTCCTGTTTACTCGGTCGAAGGAATTTTCAAAATCAATGAATGCAATATGCGTGTCTAAATTAAACTATCTTCTTTTCTCCATTATTTGGTTCAATACAAAACATTATCTGTGCAGGATCTCCCTCTCTGAAGCCATTTTGTTCTTCTAATAATATAACTGCAGCTATTGTCTTTATCCTCTTTTGGATCATTTTACTGTAGATTTTATATGTTGTGTTTAAGAGGCTAATACCTCTAATTTTCTCAGCCACTTCGATCCCCCTTTTTAAACGCAGGTAATGTTTGCCGTTATGACTGTTTGCCATTGGCCGTCATTTGCCTGGTATCGTACTTCTTTGCCAACATTGATTGTATCGTTGTAACAGTCTTAAATGGAGAAAAGTGCGTCCATATTTTAGTAATTCTGTGTTTACATTATTTATACCAGTAGCTTTTCTATATTTCATTTCTTTATTAATTTAATTAATACTTGTATTACTTTTTTATTGTTAGTGGATCAATATTACTAATATTTTGTTCTTCCTTTTCTTCCAGCGAATTGAATCAAAGATGTGTGTGTCTTTTCACCTATAACTTTCAATTGAAGGGTATCTGGGTTTTTTCTCATTGAGTTGTCTCATTACTTTATAGACCAGTACTTGCTTCCCATGAATACCATTTTCTATTCTATTTAGATAAATTTATTTGAACTGTAAATGGGCATAACATGGTGGCAGCTAATTACATAAATAAGATAGTACAGCTAACTTGCAAATTATATAATAATAATAAATAGTAATAAAAATAATAATAATAATAAAAATAATAATAACAATAATAATAATAATAATAATAATAATAATAATATAAAACTGTCTAATTCATAAAACATTTAAAATTACCTTAAAAAAAGAAACATCATAATTAAACTCCGCACTCAATTTTTGTTTACTGTTTTTTTTATGAAGTGATCCCACGTCTCTTGATGTGCTATACGATATAGCCATTTGATTTCATTTCTGTAGCTGTTATATTATTTCTTGGTTTCTTCATTTCGTGTTTGATGATATTTCAAGTATGCCTTTTTTCTCTGCCACAGCTTCTTTACGTTCTTCATTCCATACTCTGAGTCCTTTCTTTTTCCTGAACTTCTTTTTCTTTCTTAGGCTTTCAAAAGCTGCTTTTTCTATGGAGGTTATAATATTTTCCCATTCTTTCTCTATTTTATAGCTTGTTGGTAATTTTTCGAAGTAATTATCTCATCTCTGTTGATATAGCTTTTTTTAATACTCTCCTCTTGTAGCAGATATACTTTAAAACCTTCTTCTTCATTGTTTTTATTTTTGAGGCTTATATTTTTCAATCTACTTAGTAATTTAATGGTTGAGACAATCAAATAGTGATCTGAGTATATATTTTTGCCTCTATAAACTCTCGTATCTTAAATTAGGGTTGATAATTTCTTGTTAACTGTAACGCAATCTTTGAGTGATCTCCATCCACTAGCATTTCAAATATATTTATGAATTTCTTTATGTCTAAAGAATGTGTTAGTTATTTTTAATTTATTATAGGTGGTAAAATTCCTTAAACCTATACCACTATTATTCATTGTCTGCTCTCCAAAGGTCCCATCGATTTTAGGTCTTGGTTTGTTTCCAACTCTTGCATTTAAATCTACGCTAATTATCAAATGCTCTTTGCTATTAATTTGGGAAAGAACTTTCTGTAGATTTTCATAAAAATTGTGGTTTCTTCTTTTTTCCCTTCTTCTGGGGCATATACTCTGAACACATTTAGATGTCCTCTCTCTATTTTTAACCTTACTGTTATTATTCTTTCATTTACATCACAATAACTTACTATTTTAGAGGTCCATTTCCTATCAATCAATATTGCTACTCCACAACTTGCTCTTTGACTTTGATCTTCTCCAGAATAGATCAATGTGTAATCGTCAAGATCTTTAGTTCCCTTAAGCTTTTTAACGTTTCTGTTGGAACGGCTATATTAATGATTAAATTCCTTTAATTCATCATTGAGTTCTGTTTCGTTGGTACCTAAACATCTTACATTCCATGTGGATGGTTTAGTCTATCCTTTATTCTGAATCGCTTGTCCTTTTCTCGCTTATGTTGTCGTATATGAGATTTATCCCGCTTATCTATGAGAAGATTTTTAGTAATTGAAATGTCCCTTGTCCGCCTTAAAGGCGCCGTGCAGGGTAATCCCAGTGGGTTTACCCTTCACTGCTTCTGAACCAGCACGATTTGATATCAGGGTTTTCTACCTTAGGGAAGTCTGTTTCACCAGGAGAGTCTCCCCTACCCTTTGAGGAGCCTTCTTCCTCCAGTTTCGTCTTCTGTTCTTCGAAGTCGCCGGTGAAGTCCTCTTCTCTGAGTACTTCTTCGCCTGACCCCTTCCCTTTGACCTGTCCGGTAACGGAGGCCCTACCAGTAGCTAGGTTACCGACGGCATAGCTCTGAGGGTCACCAGGGTACTCCAGCTCCACCACCAGCTACAAGGTCATGTACTCCCAAGGAGTTCATGTCATTACCACTATTTATAACCACATGAATATTCAAATTCATATAAATGTGTAACTACGCAAATCTGATTGTGTTGAATTAATCCCTGATTCTGTTGAATGAATGAATTTCTAGCCTGTAGTTTACTAGTTTGTATAAAAAAGTGTTGAATTGGTTTGTATTACTTAGTGACATTAATGTTTCCTTTCTCTTTCAGGACTACTGGTCATTCTCTCGCTCTTGTTCTTCACGCCATATTTTCAATTCATTCCGAAGACATCTCTTGCTGCAATTATCATTGCTGCAGTCATATTCATGGTGGAAGTTCACGTCGTGGTTCCCATGTGGAAAACAAAAAGTTAGTTCAAAGTTCCTTTATTTTCAGTTAACAAATTATCTAGTGTATCGGCACAAAAAATCATGGGAAGTGTGCATTATAAAACTTGGAAAGACATATGTGAAAGCAGTTATTTATTTACAGCAGATAGGTATTTTACAAATTTAATTATATGATAATTATCTTCAACTTATTTTAATTTACATCTGAGTAAAACCTTTTCGCTTGGTGATAACCAAGCTCAAATGCATATTGGCCCGAACATTTATGAAGCATATTTCTGACAAAATCGCTTGATACAATCAATCACAGATAACTTTGTCAATGCGCTTCACTAATCGCTGAAATATCTCTTTCAGAGAGTGATTTACTCCCAGGAGTGGGTACGTTCATTGCCTGCTTGGTGCTACCTTTAGAAATGGGTATTTTGGTGGGCATTGGCATCAACATCTTGTTTATTCTGTACCATGCTGCGCGACCTAAAATCGCCATGGAGAACCTTACAGTAAGTCATCAAATATCTGTACAATTGTAATATTCTAGAGAAGGACCTGGACAACCATTCTTGGTATGGCAAAAGTCAGTAAAAATGCCAAAAACAGCATACTATTTAAAATGTCTTATAACCTGTAAACTAAAATAACCACACTCAAGCCCATGAATAAATATTGGTTTCATAAGGGGAAATTTTCCTAAGCCTGGAATATTGCGTAGTGATGCCATTTGACGTTATAGGACATCACGGATTGATGTCTTTAATGTTTCCTCAAGTACATAATCATGAGATATTTTATTTTTTATTTATTTGTTTCCGATACAATTACCCATTACATAAATAAATTCATAACATGTAAATAAAAATATTTAATTAGTAGTGCTACAGAATGCCACAGACGTTTTCGTGTATGTTTGATTTCTTTTCTTTTTTGGTTTGAGCTGGCTTTTCCGTTTTGTCCCATCTCTTTCCTAGCTGTCACCTATCGCATCACGACATTTTTAACACATTTTCTTGGTTTTTTGGTTTCCTAATTATAGACCAGAAATTTAACTTAAGAATATTACAGGAAAGTAAAATCTCGTCGTTTATGAATATTTTCGTTGAAAAGTTTTCAACCGTTTTTACTTTCCCGTAAACATACGTATATACAGAGTAATATACGTAGTATAGGAAAAGTTATGAAATTCTGCGCGAAAAAAGGCAGATTTTCGGCAGCAGCATTCCTGGCAAAAACATTCCTGGTCACTGATAAAGAAAAAATTGATAAATCCAGTTGCTAAATTAAGGAAAAAAATCTTTAACATGCAGTGAAACCAGAATCCTCGCCCTTAATATCGAAAAACCAATTGACGACAAAACGTCCGTCCGTTTGTGAACTCCACTAACGGCTAAATCTTACGTAGGATTTATTTCAAATTGAAGAAACACCTATCCATCTGGCTCGAGTCGAAGCTTTGAGATTTTGAAAAACATTCTTTAAAATTTGAGGGTACTTTATATGAAGCCTTTCGGACATTTTCAAAATTTTCTCAAAAACGGCTCCAAATTTTTTCTTTATTTATCTTGTAGGAATATAGTAAAATACACTTATAAATGCGACAAAGGTCATATTTTCACGATTCACTCTAAATTTTAGAAAATTGCTAGTTTGAATTTTTTTCGATTTCCTATTTTGACGACTTCCTACGTTTTCCAACTACAGAATTGAAGATAGAGATTTTTCTTTCAAATAAAATTGGTTCTCCATAGTCAGTTCTTTCATGAGGGTTATGTACATTTTTTTGAAAATTTTAGTAGTTTTCACACAATATTGCGTGCAACATGTGCAATTTTAACAAATAACAAAAGGGGCTCCAAATTAATTCTTTAAACTTTTAGTACATATTGGGCTAAATGTACTATATGAGATGACGTAAACATAATTTTGTCTTTTGTTCTTTTGTTCTTTTGTTTTTTCAAAAACTGTGGATAATATTTACAGTTACATAAATTATTGTATTTAAGAGTACATGTGCTTGAACTAATGACATAAATTTTATCGAATCCCATACTATTTTCTGTAAAAACTAGCTCAAAATTTTGCTCAAACGTCATTTTCTCAAGAATGGCTCCAAATTGTTTCTTCTAACTTTTAAGATAACATAAAAGCCATTTGATGTGTTCTTTTGTTCTTTTTTTCAAAAAAATACACAAATGTAATTTTTTAAGGATCTCTTACGACGTTGAATTTATTTGAATTGGCCTTATTTTACGTGGCGAGACTCGGGCCATCAGGCCCGCTCTTCCGTCTGACCACGCAAATTTCGCTACGCTCCTTTCATATAGCAGAGAAAGAAGGTATTTCTTGGGCGAGAAACAAGCGATTTGAATTTAGCTCAGAGGCGTCATTTAGGCTTGAGAATCTTTTACATGCAAGTAAATCTACGAACATGGGACAGCCGGCTTTACTTCCCCTCTGAAGGAAGGCGTACGAAGGATTTTTTCGCCCTTAAAAATCCACGGCTTCGATCGGGTTTGAACCCGCCAACTTGGGTACAACAGTCCAGTACGCTAACCGTTACACCACCGCCGCCGCTACACCACCGCCGCCGTACGTTAATATGCACATTTCCAGCAATTGGTAAACAATATTGTATTTGTGAGTTAAAACGACTTCAAATGAAGTTTTTCGAAAACTCAAAAATATTCTATGAAAATAACTTTACGAATTTACAGTAGCGCTTAAACGCTATTTTCTTGAAAATGGTGCCAAATTTTTAAAAGAAAATTGCCATTTAAGATGAGGTTTTACTATTCTTTAATAATCTTGAGAGTAATATTTCAGGTCTAGTATTAAGAAAACGGAAAATTAAGAACATTCCAAAAAATGTACTTCAGGAGGCCATAGATGGTAGCTGGCAAGAGTATGTGGCACGCTAATACGGGAAAGTGTGTGCCATTCCATAGCACCACTAGTTTAATTTTGCGTATATTTTACCCAATATTACGCAAAAACTGCTAAAATTTTCAAGAAATTATGCATGACCTTAATGAATGAACTAATTACGGGGAACAAATTTTATTTGAAGAAATACCATATTTCTTAAAGTTTGTAGCTGTAGGAAGACGCAAAAAAATTTCAAACTTTTGGAGTAAATAAAACTGTACAGTTAACAGTCGTAAATGAACCTGTGCCATTTTCATAAGTGTATTTTTCTGTATTATTTCAAAAACCGTAAAGGAAAAAAATTGGAGATATTTTTGTGCAATTTTTAAAAATGTCTAAAAGATTTAATATAAATTACCCCCCGAAATTAATGAATGTTTTCAAAATCATAATAATTAAAGGATTCATGAATGGGTTAGTGAATAATGGATGGGAAATGTATCAAAAATAACTAAGAGACACTGTGAATAATAAAAGGCATTTTTTATTTATTAATTCCTGTTCGGCATTGCTACCTTTCAGGGGCAAGATAAGGCTTGAAAAGCTGATCGAAAGCGTACACTACATGTCCCAAGATTTCAAGAAACTACTGGTGTTACAGATTTGCACAGATTTTCTCGTGGGAAACCAATACCTTCAATTCTCGGGACCTTTATTTACAATTCAAAATGATTATCGTAAAATATAGAGTCGTCATTCAGTGTGAGCCGATATCATTTTTCTTACATTTGTCAACTACTTACTTTTTAGCACATTCTCTTCAGGAAATTTAAACATAACGTAGGTAGGAGACATATTGCAATATTTTCGTTATAAACCAATTGAACCATGAATCAATTTCAGTAATAAAACGATTCCCATGTACGTAAAATACAGTCACTAAGTAAGTGTTTATAACACACTATATTTTTCTAACAATGTTCCACACAGCAGTCACTTCTTTAAATAACATTTTCTCCAAAACTTGATAATGCCATGTTCTTCCTAATCAAAATAAACACAATTGTTAATAACAAATTCTTGTCATGGTAACCAAGTATACGTTTTGAAAATTCATTAGCAAGCGAATACAAAGGAACACATTTGCGGTAATACTTACAAAAAATTAACAAAATTTTATTCAACAATATATTTAGAAAACTTTCTAATTGTCGCGATTGTCTACTGTTTGTTTTTGTGCAATAGATACTTTTTATTCTGTGAGTAAAAAATATCTACATTTTGATGCATTTTTTTCGGTTTTTTGTGCACTAAATATCTTGGTCGAAATCCAGCTCTTGGAATATCGGGGAGAAATAAACTTTTATCAGAAAGTTTTTAAGAACGTTTTGTTAGAATGTTTCCAAAAATTCGCCTCTTTTAATTCCTCTTGGTTTCAGAAACGTATGGATATGGTCCGTGGGCCTCTTAATATGTCTTTTAATACGTTTGGACAAGCGGAATTTCACATCGTTTGTGTCAACTTGTAGCAGTACGATTGTATTACACACTCGTCTTGCTTTTTTGCAGACTGCGGGTGGAACGGAATACCTACAATTAACGCCTGATCGCCTCCTCATCTTTCCATCCGTGGACTATGTGAGGAATTTGGTGACGAAGTACAGTCTGAAGCACAATTTCCCTGTCGTCATCGACTGCTCGCATGTCTACAACGCAGATTTCACTGCAGCTAAGGTAATATGGCTTCAGCTTCTGTATTTCTATGACTGCTTGCGTGGTTATTCAACATTGATACGGAGAAAATAGCATACTTCTACAACGCAGAAAACAGTTTCACATTTGTAATTAGAATGCCTCATACGTTGGAAGTAGTAAAAGTATAAACCTTTGTCTCGCGTTTCCAATTCTATGGTTTAAGAACTTACATATTATATTTAATATGTCATTTTATGTAAAAATGTATGTCAAAATTATAACTAAGCCCCATTTTTTTCTGAAGAAAACGTTAAAATAAAATGTAAAATTCATGTTCATGGGAACATAGTTTTTAGAATGCGTAAAAGAAAGAATTAATGAAATCAAAAAGTAATTGATCAAAGTTCACGCAGCTTTCTCACGCACGGAGGTGGTTTAAAACTATATTATAACTAAGTATTTGCAGCTAATAGAATGGTTGAGAAAATCTATTAAGACAACTCTGTTTATTCCATTTCAGAGAATAATTTAAGGAATACATGTAATTGATATTTTTGTGTTGATTCTAGCATGGGTTGGGTTTCTGCACTGCATGCATTAGGATAGTGATGGTATTTGCATAAGGTTTAGCTTTAGGTGAAATTATGTAGTTGTTTGTAACTTTTTATGGTTTATTTGTTATTGTCTTTAAATATTGAGATCAATTAAATATTAAGACCCACTCAGATATAGCAGCTGGGCGACAGAATAAATGCTCGAAATGTGCTTTGTGATTTCAGGAGGCAGGGTCTTTAGGTTGTGAGAAAGTTTTCCCAAGACACAGAAATAGGTGAAAATCAGGGTATTCACCATATATTCGTAAACAGTCAAATCACTTTTCAAAGCGCTGAAGAGAACAAAAATAATCACACAGCACACACAAAATCATGTGAAAATGAAATTATTTCTTGAATACACTTTCAAATCAATAACATACTACTCTTAATAACTTTGAAAAATTCAAAGCTTTCTAAATTTACAACATTCTCTGCAACATGTGCACGATAATTACTCAATGCTAGGCCAGTAAGTGTTTGCAAATTATTAACTAACTTTATTTGGTCAAAACATGAATAAAAAATAAAATTATTTCCCAATCTCCAATGAATTTCACTGTGTTTATCGTAACGCTCAACAATTTAACATAATTACTGACTATAGTGCTCAAAATATTTACAAGCAACTCACACACGAATGAAAAATATTACAAAGCCTTTTTGGGGGGGAGGTTCTCCTTTGCAATACTGACTGTCACAAATTCTAATTTATTCAATTCCCGTTACAAATATTCTCGTTACCTTGTTTGGCTGCGGCGCTATGCCGACCTCCGGCCGTCCCGTCGTCGCCGCCGCTCCCATCCTTCGCCCAACTCCGGCCGCAGCGTTGCTTCGCTCCCTCGCAGACCAGTGTCCGCGATGTCACCCGTCTTCTCTCTTCTGCCACCAGATCCACGTCCATATATAATATATATATATACTTATATATATACTTATAATATATATATTATATATATATATATATAAATTGTAACTTTTATAGCTCAGTCTGGTCGCTGGTTCATTCCTATAATGAATGGATGGAAGAGAAGGGAGATTATCCATTAAATCATTTCGTTAATTGGCCAAAAATTAATTTATTCCTGACATTAGCTGCCAGGGACGTTACACGTCGCAAAGACAGCGACAAAGATTGCCTACCAACTTTACGCAATGCGCTCATGATCCTAATAGCTATGAAGAAACATCTTAACACTATCATTGGGGTTTTGTCTACAATAATTAAAAAAAAGTACGTGAGCGCGGTAACGATAAACTTTCACCGGAATACCCTGCGAAGGAATCCCGTGACGTAATCAGGGGAGAGAGTTCATCTTCGGTTAAATACCGGATTATCACGGCTGGTTGTCGGCGCCTCCGCAGATCGGCTGTCCTCGTCTCGTAATTCACTTTCGCTTTGGCGAGGGCTGGCGACGTGGTGCGGCGACGGCAGGGCGGTGGTCAGGTCACCGACTCCCCATTCGGTGTTTCTCAGCATGGCTCGGAGTCGTCAAAGGCGGGAGTCAGCTCGAAGACACACGGGCGCCGGGCAGGCGTAGTGCGGGCTTGAATGGGCCCGAGACGGCACTGTGCGGCGAACGCAAATTGACGCATAGTCTGCGCGGGTCTTTGGTTCGGTTAAAAACCGCACTCGGTGGCAAAGTTCAGCCCTAAGAGCCGAAATTAATAATGTTCCTCACTCCAACGAGTCTTATCTAAGAGCCACGTATTTTCTTCTACAATTTCTCCCTAATAATGTTTTTCTCTACTCAGCTCCCGGCCGAGCTCCCGGCCGGCTCCCTCCGTTTCCCCCTCCCGAAAACGTTTCAAGACCCATAGTTTTGTCCCTTCCCTCACGGGGAGATGTCTCATTGGACGAAACTATTTGCGTCGCAATTTTTGTCACACAATCGGGACGCACATTTCTTTGAATTTTCCAGGGCGATCTCTCTCTCTCTTTCTAATTCTAGAAGCATCTCTTGCGGCTGCCCGAACATGTGTTCAGGCGGCTTTGTTTTCGAAAACATAATTCTTCGGCGCTGTGAGCGGCAGCCGGCGACGGGCGAGCTATATACGATACCTCTGGGATTTCCGGAAGTGTTGTAGGGAGATTCCTTGCGCGGGCGAGTGACATATGACCGGCAGGCGGGTGTCCCCGGGCCAAGACGAGGGCGGTCATTGTTTCGCTAAGTGCGCGGGGGATCCCCGAAGGGGAGAGGGTGGGGAAAGGTCTTCCCTGCGGATCGCCAGCCGGCCGAAGAAGTGTGATGGGCGAGCGCCGGTGGGCGGCTTGTCGTAAATAAGTCTGCTGCGAACGGCACCCTGATTTGGGCGTGGACTCAACGTCTGGAGCCGCGGACTATGGCAGCTGAAGACGTTGCGGGGGCGCGGGAGGTGCGTTGAAAAGAACCCGCTTGTGACAGCCGTCTTGAGACCTTCTTTCTTCAGCGTGGAAAAAATATCTTAAAATTTAAATTTAAATATGGATAAAAATTTTGGTGACTCCACAAATAATATATACGTATATATATATATATATATATATATATATATATATGTATATTAATTATTCTTTGAGACTGAATGAGGCCAAAAGATATTTGTCTTCTTTCTGGTTTTACTTTATAGTTACATATTTGGTTTATTGACTATTTACCTCTACTAGTTCATTCCCGCAGAATTCTGCAGTCCAACTGGAACGGGTTTATTTTCTTTAACTAGTCTAGTGACTAATAATTGAAGGGTACCGTTGTTTTAAATCTTGTAGTATATCCAGTTAGGTAAAGGTGTGGCTTATGTTTAAAAAATGGTTTTCCAGGTCTATGAAGTGTGAAAACTTCTCTGCGTGCTAATTAGGTACTTCACTAGTTTTCTGGTCTTTGATAGAGTTGGCACTAATTTTAACTTTCTGATTTCTTAAGTATGCAATGAAATTTATAGACACTTTTGATTTTAGTTCTTTGATGAAATTATATTAGGAACTAGCAGAACCCGGTAGACGTTGTCCGCCCTCCATCTCTTTCTTTCTTCTTCCCTCTCCCTTTCTCTCTCAACGTCCCCGTCCCTCTGTCTCCGACTTTCCATCTCTCTCCATTTCTTTACCCGTCTGTCTCTCCCTCTCCGTCTCTTTTTCTCTCTTTGTCTCTGTTTCTCTCTGCGTCTGTTTCCCTCTGGTTGTTTCTCTCTGTGAATCTGTCTCTCCCGGGCGAAATTTCACAATCGCAGGAGCAGAATATGCAATGTAGACTCTCTTAATACTCTCACTTCAGGATGCAACGGATTGCGTAGAGCGCCCTGTTCAGGGACGCCTGAGTCAGCATAAAATCGTGATCCCATCGTACCCATCATTCCCATCGTACTGTGCCTGTATTCTTTCCACAAGTCCAGCAATATGTTGACAAAGTTTTATCGTAATCGGAAGTATGGTACGATGGCGTAGTAAGTACAAACCAAAAACAAACACACATTGTTTTTATATATTAGATGTTGGCTACGAAGATGGTAGGAATTTAATTTGTGTGGTTGGTTCGTTTACTACTCTTTTCCTTTAGATAGTTAAATATGTTATCTTCGAGGCTTAGGTTTACTTCACTCAAAGAACCGACTCTTTTGCACTCCAACGTTATAAATTTAAATTTATTGTATCTGGATGTTCACTGTCACTTACAGAACCCGTACTTTTTTGATGATCACCGTTATTTTTTTATATTGGATGGCCGTGTCCTCTACGGTTGATAGTTGAAGGTCACTCCATTGCCGAAGTCGCTGCTTTGCTGCTTCATGGCTGCCTGATGTTAGATGACCATTGGTTCTTCGCTAAAAGTAGATTGTTGGTTTACGAACACTTCACCATTAGCTGAAACGTCGCTATCATTATTGTTGACCACGTACAGGGCATGGCTAATTGCTTGGCACGTTCCTCAGAATATGTCATTAGACGTATACAATTGAATGTCGACTAGTTGATTACTGTCTCACTTCAACTTAAATAAGGTTTACACGAGGAGAACTGAGCTTCTCTGAGACGAACCTCACTGCTCGGTTGTTCGCAGCATGCTGAAGACCTGCGTGCCCAGTCTTAAGAGGAAGGCAAAATACCTAGGTTTTTTCTGTAATAGAAAAATTCTAAAGTGTTTCAATATTTTTATCAAAGAGTTTTATATTTATATTGTTTGATACAAGGGTAAAGTTTACCGATCCGGATGATCAAAATCGTTAAGGCAGACGTGCCATAGTGATTTCAGACTGAAGGATCTCGGGTTCAAGTCCCGTCTCGGGCATGGTTGTATTTATGTTCGTCCTTTCACCATCCATCATCACCATATCATGTCATCTGCACAGTGACCATAACGTTAAATCTAATAGTGGTCACTAATGATCTAGATGTTGATGCGATCTTAAATAAAAAAGGGGAAATTTTGTTTTATTTTAATTGAAAATCAATTATAATTATTTCGAAGAATCTGTGAATTCATGGATAAGCAGAGTAAACACTTATTTATCGTTCCCAACTAATAGATGAACAAACTAATTTTTTAAACAAACTTTTATAACACTTCATAAATGTTCAAAATATTGTAACATTGATTTTTAAAACTGAAAATATTATAGTTTATTTTCGTATTCGTATTTATTACCTACTATTTGAACTTTTCTATGTTAAGGGATCTCAAAGTTTGATCATACTAAGGCTACTTAAGATATAGTTTAGCTATTCTAAATGAAATTAGTTGAACTACAACAGCACGTACTTTCTCACGATATTGTTAATGGCTATGTATTATTGTAATATGACAATTTCTGTCTTACACTTTAGCAATTATTTGAAAAATTCTTGCGTTCTTGCAAAGCGTGAAATACATATGCTTTTTAAATACAAATGCTTAAACGAAAACAGATTTCTGCCATTGAATTCAGTGTGTTCACGTTCTACATAAACGTACCAACGATCCACGATGCTTATTTTATTTATTATTAGTTTGTATTGACGCGAAAGAAAAGGCACCAGTCACTATTGAATGCCAAGCTAATTTTCTTGTCAATCTAACGTACATATACCGGAAATGTATTGACAGACCTGAGGATGGTTCTTACAATGTTATAGTAATCTTATACCAACACACTTGAAAGGCAGAAATCAAGTAGTAAAATTTAAAAAAGTCATTATAGCCTTCTGTTATCAGTGCGACATTACAAAAAAGGTTACAAGCAACAATGACTGCTAATTTGTATGGGATACGCATTTCGCCAATTGGCTTTTTGACACCGCTAGCAAGAAAATTAAAATGCATAGAAAAATATATTTATACATTCTTTAAAATTATTTGGTTTTTATATGCATTACTTTTCATTCCCACATCTTATTAAGGAAAGCGAAATCGTCTATTCGTTTTCACATTTAACTTAATTACAGGACGTAATTTATAATAGGTTTTAAATAATTACTAAAATATTAATTTTAAAACTTACTGCAAAAGCTCGAAAGGTAAACGAACCAACAAATATAAAATAAAATACAAATTCTAACTTATGAACCATCCAAACTGCTTCAAAACACTGCTGAGATTACGTTTACGAAGCGCAGAAAGTAAGGGGCGGGCATCTATGTTCGATGACAAATTATTCCAAAAATACTCATACATATTTTCGTAAATTTCAATATGACCTTATTTGAAGATCTGTTTTTGATGAACACATTTCATTAACAAAAGAAATTGTATCTTCTTAATTGTAGTTGTAGGAAGACACGAAAACATATATTTTTTAAATTTTCGATAAATCAGGGTTTTAACCAAGATGCGATCTGCACCATTTTCTTAAACGTCCTTCAGACTATCGAACAACAAAATTTCATCAAAATCAATTCCGCCATTTTTTGAAAATTTTGAAAATGTCCCAGTGGTTTACTGTAAAGTACCCCCAAAATTAGAACACCGGTTTCAAATTAAAGGGGGCTGCGACAGATCGACCGGGGAATATTATTTTTGGAGAAAAGCGGCTGTAACCGCTAGCGTTGTTCACAGGCGGACGGATAGAAAGACGTTTTGCCGTCAATCCACTCTTTGCTCTCCCACAAAATTCTGGATGTACCACGTGTAAAAGAATTTTCTTCTAAATTTTGCAACATTAATTTATTCGGATTTTCGTTACCTAGGCAGTGTAATATTTTTCGGAAGTTTTTTATTGAAATGTTTAGTGGTGGGGGGCTGAGCATTATTATTAAGAATGTTGATTGTGTTAATTATCATATTGTTTAAGAAGGCTACAGCTTGTTCTATTTCTACGGGAGTTTTTAATATTTTAAAGTGGGGTGATTGTTTTTGAATTATGTTCTTAAATTTTTTCCAGTGGATGTTTTGTATGTTAAGTGTGAGAGTTGGAGTGTGAGGGGGCGTAATTTGTTGAGTTGAGATGATGGTTGGCAGGTGATCCGAGTCTAGTTCAAAGAAAGGAGCTGAGTGAAAAGTGGTTTGAGTGTTAGAAATTGCAATATCTAAAATGTCTGGGTGTTTATTGTGATCTGTGGGGTAGTGACTGGGTTCTGCTTGAATAATTAACTGAAGTTTGAGGTCCGTAATTATTTTGATGAGTTGGTGTCCTGCAGTGTTGGTATTTCTACATCCCCATATAGTGTTTTTAGTATAAAGATTCACAATCAGAATAGTGGGCGAATTCATCTGGAATAGCGCTGAAATATTAGAGTCAGAAATTTTTGTTTTCGGAGGCTTGAATGCCGCTATTAGGGTTATTAATCTATTGTTTAGAGGGAATTTAATGGCTATAGTTTCGAGACCGAGAGTGTGTGGAAGGTTGATTTTAATAAATGGTATGGATTTTTCTATTAGTATTAGTACACCACCTCCGTTTGCATTTGATCTGTCGGTTCTGACTACATTATAGCCTGATATGTTAAATGTAACATCTGATTTTAAATGCTTTTCCGTTATGCAAGCTAGATTTATTTTGTTATTTAAAAAATATGTTAGTTCTAATTTTTTATTGTTGATGCCATTCGCGTTCCAGTTGAGCAGATTTAAATTATTTTTATGGTACTGTTGCATTATTGTTGTTAAAATAGGCTGAGAGAGATGCTTGTAAATTGCTGACTATTGTTGGAATGAGACAGGCGTTTCGTGTGCGTAGGTCATCGAGTGCTTGACGCAAGACTTCGCACTGAGGCGGCAGCCGCTGTTCTTCTTCCGGTTGAAGCCCAGCATCGTCAACGTGTTCAAAGGCCTCCAACCGCGCGATTTCACCGTTTTCTACACTGAATCTGAGCTCGACGACCTCATCAAAGGTAAGGACTAGCATTTGTCTTAGTATTTTTAATTTAAAAGTTCCAAATATTAAAGTAAATTTCAACAATTATTACTGGGGAAGCCTAAGTTTACTAAGATCTAATTACCTACCGGTATTTTACTCTCTCCTTTACATATTTCTGGTCGGATTGTGTATAATGCAATAATCTGTACTTAAGGAAAATGAGAGCAACAACCTTGAAGAGATTATAAAAAAGCATAGATGGATTCAGTAGCACCAAAGCATTTTGTTTTACAAATAACTGCTGTATTATTATTATTAAAATGTAAATATTAAAAAACATTTAATTTGTGAAATAGGAAAGTAGAGATACATTAAACGCAACTTATTTTAAATTTTAATGAATCATGAATTGTGAAAATTCTTGTCTCTTTTATGCAAGACAAATAAATGTAGATTCTCATTGTTACACAACAAAAACATATCAATTTGCTCGTAAAATGCCATTTCCTGTAAATATGTGTTAATCTGTTTTGTCTTGTTAAACTCCACTTTGATTGAACATGTGCGTTTATACATTCACAATACTCTTGTTTCACATACTTTGGTTTTGAATAATATAATTTGTCAGGGAACGCAGACCCCATTTAACGCAACAGTGATAAACAAAGTAGAGGTAGAACTTTTTAGGCCATTGCTTTAGGTTACTAGACCACCTTGCACATCACAAGGACACAGTTCTTTCATATTTCTTGTCAACTTTCTATTTAATACTTCATAGTTTAGATAGATAACAAAACTCATATTTCTAAAGTAATCAATGTCATTTATAAAACAAAAGGTGTAACATGTAACACTTTGTCAAGCAATGACCTACTGCAGATTGGTTATGCAATATTGTCTTACCTTGAGCTTATTATTGATGTGACTGGACCCTGAGCTGTTATCTTGTTACAGCTCATGAGAAGAAAATTGCAAAGGAAGAATTGGAATTGGGAGTCAGCACACTGTGTAAGGAATCTATGGCAGTTGTCAGTCATATTGTCGCCTCAGGATGATGCAACATCAACTCATTCATTGAATGCAGATATTGAAAACTAGAAAAAATTGAAGAATAGCAGTATGCATTTTCATGTTTATTCCTAGAAATATGCTAGTGGAGCTTTGTAAAAATCTACTATGTGAAGGCAAACGCTCTTGTTTTACCTTGGACCAACAAAGAACTGAAAGTGAGTAGAGAAGCTGTGGTAGCTAAGTAGTCTTTTAGAATAAGCAATGGATTCATGAAAGATGAATCACATTTTTTCACTTTTTGTACCCTGTCAATGGAGGAAATGTTTTAAAATTCACATTGAAGTAATTCAGTTTTAATGAAATATTATTATTCAAAGAATGCTTAGACTTACTTAATGACAAAAGCAATACTACCTAAGGTCTTTTTGTGGTAGTTCATTGTACTAGTGCTACAAAAGCAATATAGACTTCATACAGCACTGCAGTATTTATTTCATGCAACTGTATAGCATACATCACAAAAAATATATACATCACTCATTTCTCATTATTTATAAAACACATACATCACTAATTTTGTTCGTAAGACATATGTGTTAATAAAAAGTTATTTGATATCAGTTAGAAGTTTGACATATAAAAACATACAATTTGCAAACAATTTGTTTTGAAGATTGCAACATGAAAAAATTTCATCATTTCTTAACAGTCTCCAGTATAAAAGTGGTGAGCAGCTTTACAAGTAAAATATTTATTGTTAATTGCACTAAGTAATGTACATACATACATTTACAGGAGTTTGTACATAATTTTTCTCTATTAGTACAGTGTATAGGAATGTGCAATTAATTCATGACTCAGAATACTGGTAGGTACGTTTTCTCACTTTGTGTCAGTACAACGATGTGTGATAATAAAGAAGTAAGAACTAGTAAGTCTGGTACAAATAAAGCAGAAATCAATACTTGAAGAACAGGATCATCTTCTTTTCTATTATTTGTTCCCTGCATTCAATTTATTTTGTACCAGCATATTGAGATGTCTCTTTTATTAACTACAGGCTGTCTGGAGGAACTCTCTTCACCACAGTTAACCTTTCTTTGGACAATCACAAAATGTACATAGGAGAATAAATACACATCAGTTTTCCTACTTCACTTTTCAATACACTATCTATATTAATTCATCACAGATGTTCTAATAGGAGCTTGGCTCCAGACACAAGCAACAAATCCAAGACTGCATTATACAGTTCCTTTGGAAAATGCAAATTCTTCACAGAAGATGGAGCACAAGTCTTCAAGAACACTAGTCTTCTTTTTTTTCTTCTTCTTCCAATTCAATGTCTACCATTTGTTTCCCGTAAACGAGTGTTCTTATTCGTGTAGTCTGGGAACAACAAGCACAAGAGTTGTTCAATTTATGTTGAATATTCTTCTGACACATGCAACTATTCAAGTTACAGTGCAATGAAGAGTGTACAGGTGCCAAAATAAAAATGTAGTAATATGAGAGCAATTTTACAAAGGATGGAATTAAAAAGAAATTAAGATTACACATTGAAATGATTCTGAGGGTCAATAAGGTAAAGGCAGATTACATCAGGTTACGGTTTCCTTAGCCAACTCTTTATGGAACAATATTCTTAGTAGCTTTACCTTTAAGAAGGTCACTCAGCTCTGTCTCATTGTGGCAATACTTGAACTCCTTGGGCTGTACACCCTTGAAGATTTCTACAATGCTAGGTTTGAGATTATAAAAGAGAATGGGCTGGTTTCTCGTCACAAAGTCTTCAATAAGAGACTTTACACCCTGGGGAAAGCAAACAAAACATAAACTTCATTTATCTGAGATCATAATTTGGAGAAAACAATAATTAAAATTTTCTAGGAGAAATATTTTAATGTTACTTCTTCAAAAAAAGGAAAATTTTCTGTTGTTTTATTTTGATCACTATTTTAAAAACATTTCTGTCAACAATACAATATTGTAAATCACAACTTTTATTTACAATAATTTCAAGTATCTTTGTTATTATTCTACTTAAAAAGGTATCAAAATTGAATTGTAACATTCAATACATACCTTTGCTGCAGTGAAATCAGCACCTTGTATATGTCTACTGTCTATAACTACAGGTATAGAACTTGATCCCTGTTTGACACCAGCTTTTGATACTTGATTCCGCACATACTCCACTGATGGGAATACAAGACTTCGGTCAGGAGTGATTAAAAGGTATTCACATCCTGTGGTAGTCTGAAGTACATAAAAGTAATGATTATAAAGATGGACGAAAAAAGTTACATATTCTCAGAACATTATTTGACCAAATGAGACATCCTATTTCATCAAATAAGTTGTTCATCTTCTATATTTTAACAACTTCATTTAGCAGAAAGCAAAATCCTCTCATAAGATGTTCAAGTCTAATAAAAATGAAAGAAAGCAGAAACATAATATAGTATATGTCATGCAAACTATACAAAGGTTACACCTGATGAAGGGGAAAACGGAGTTCCCATTTTTCCAAGAAAAATGTATCAATAAATGACATTAAATAATAATAGTGTTTACTTTATAAAGTAACCATAACAGACTACTGATGGCAAAAAAAAAGGATGTAACATTACTAAATGTATGTAATGGTAAAGTTAACTAACTTTAAAAACAGAAAGTAAAGTCCTTAAGAATGGACTTTAGGAATAATAATCAACTATAAATTTCACATCTAGACTCTTGGGTCTCTTTGTCTTCTCAAAGTACAACAATAATAAAATATGTTAGCAAATATTTCAAATGTAACAATTTTAGAAAGAAGACTTAATTCCTTTTAGAAAGTTCCTACACTTAATTCCAGTAATATTAATAATAAATCAAAATCATTGAACATTTCAATACATGTAATACATGTATCATAAAGGAAATATATTAGTCTTATAAGCAAGATACAATATTTTCTCTATGCTTTAACCCTTCCAAGCCAATAATAAATAAAAATAAGGAATGTTTAATAACATTAGTTACAGCAAGATTTGAAAACCTCATCATTTCTAAGAAAAGTGCAGTATATCATAAAATGGAAAATTACTGTTTGGTAAAAATATTTTCTATCTTGCAAACTCTGTAACTTCAAACAATATTTTATTACATTGTTTCTATGCTAAATTGACTAGGTTAACCAAACAAATCTACAGCTAATAAAATTGAGTATATATGGTTTTAAATAGTAACAAAAGTTGTATCAAAACATTACACACCAAAAATAAAGTTTCTCAATTTTAATATTTCTATGCCAATTTGTAGAGAATTCTACATCAGCAGACAATTACTAACACAAGATATAGCCCCTAAACATTATTTTGAATGAATATTTCTGAGAATTAGAGCACAAAGAATAATGATATGAACTTACCGTGACCTTCTCTACTTTGACAGATGGTCGTGCTGATGCGTACAAAAGAAACACAACATTTATGCCAATGCCAATCACAATTCCCAACTCCAGTCGAATGAACAGACATGATAAGAAGGTAGCAAATGCAGGAATCAGATCAAGTTCTGAAACAAGCAGGGAGAGAAGGTTATATATTTATTCAATGTGTTGTTGTTTATCAGATTAAATCCTTTTATCGACAATTCAATTACTTTTATAAATACAAATTTGCTTTTACTTTATATTAATTTTTAATGCAAATACACTTACAGTCTTTTGTGTTAACAAATACAAAGTGGGTTCATTTTGAGAAGGTTATTTTCTTATTACCAATTGAGCTTTCAGGATACTTTTACAATGTACAGCCTTAAAAAGTTGGAATTAATACCAAAAGTAAGGCCTAAGATAGTCTCCTAGACACACATACACATGCACACACACAAAATTAAACTTCAATATCTTGAATATTGAGATAAATTAAAGCTCCTTATTTGATTGAAAGATAAAAATAATTGACAGTCTTATCTGAGAAGAAACTTACAAACTTGTATTTCGCACTGGCAAATGAAACAAGAGTTAAAAAGATGATTGTGTAGTAAAAAGAGATTTTAAAAGATGATTGTGTAGTATCACAGGTACTCTACGAAAATATTACACAAAATAATAACAAATGTTGATTATTTAACAAAATCTATGATGGTCCCCTCCTAATTAATTGGCTGGATCCGCCCCTGATGCGAGTTCTATTTAATATCTATATGTTGGTGTGAGAGTGTGCATTAGTTACAGCTAAACTTCAATTTTAGCTCCAAAAATAACCTTTTAACATTACTTTAGACCCTGGGCACAAAACAACTGGTATATTTTCTATAGTACTTTTCATTCTTGAGCATTTAAATCTACTCCTAAAGACTTAAGGCCATTTTTTTGGTCATGAATAAACTGACAAGACACCTTTTTGAAAATGAAACAAGTATACTACTGAATTCTCCTCAAAAAAATACCCACATTCAGGCCTGGCGAATAATGTGGGTATGATGGGTAGCTATACCCACACGAAAAATTCAAAGTGAGTAAAATATCCACTCGGAATTTGGGATGAAAGAAATATTCCCAAATTCCAAAAATTAAGGAAGTTTCTAGATATTGTGTTGACTCAAAACGTACATGCGATCAACTACGTTGTGAGATGGACTCAACTGCGATAGCGACATGACCGACAAAATCGATTTGCAAAAGTTGTTAAATGAATTTAAATAAACATAAGCGTAGCGCTGGTTTTGCGTTGCAAAGATGAACTGCAGAAGTTACATAAAGTAGATGTAGGATCAACTTGCACTCACTTTTCGTCCGCCACATGGGCTTGACGACGTGGAACTCCACCATGAAGACGACTGCGGCGATGATGACCGCCGCCAGCGATGCCTTGGGGATGAAGTAGAAGTAGGGCGTAAAGAAGTGCAGCGACAGCAGCACGATGATGCCCGTGTAGACGCCGCTGCCAGGAGTGGCGACGCCGCTAGCGTGGTTGACAGCGCCGCGCGACAGGGCGCCTGACACGGGCATCGAACTCACGAACGACGACAGGATGTTGCAGGCGCCGATGGCCAGCATTTCCTGCGTCGCGTCGATCGCCTTGCCCTCCGCTGGAAACATCACAACAGAACATGGCTTCGTAAATGTAGCTCAGCTATACACAAGACAAGTGAAGAGCGTACGTCAACAAATTAAACAATAATCAATTATACATATAAGTATCATTTAATTATCTCAGATACTTTCGAAGATTTTAGCTGCAAGGTTGAGACTGAAAATGTCATTTATAGAAGAGGCCACGGGGGCGTGGTCATACGCAAGAACACAGAAAAATTCATCGGCTCCTGATTTTCTTCCGGCTGCGTGTAAGTAGATTCGTGACTGTCCAGGAGGCGCCGCAATGTAGCCCAGTTGCCAACTGTTCCTTCAGTTGTTATACTGCAACGTTCCTCAAGGCGAAAAGTAAGGCATTTCTTCCCGAGAACGGACGCGGTTTGAAGACATTTCGGTAATATGACGTTCCGTTCGCCATTCTATGACCTTAAGCCGAAAAGCCATGCTTTCTGCCTTTAGTGAGATTGCTCTATGAATATTGAAACGTTGCAACTGCGTCTAACCGGCGTCTGCCGGACTGCCAAAAATCATCGCCTATGTTTTCACGTTTGTGGTTGCCCGAATCCTGCGCGTTCCGGCAGATAGCGGCACACCCTCCCTCGTAAATGAAAGAAAACATTTCTATGATGGTGAAAATCGTGAAGTTGCGCAGACGAATGCGCGTCCTCGGGCGCGAGAATTTTTTACAAAATAACTATAGCCTGTCTATAAACGGAACACTTTTGGAATGCGCTATAAAATGGATAGGTTCAAAGAGATGATCGAATCAGAGCTCTTTGGCTTAAGAAGGCTTAGCAAAAACATTGCCAATTTCATTTACTGCGCCTTCGCATTTCCAAGTCAATGGCGAGGCTACCACCTTCACGATTAAAATAACATCCTTGAGACCAACCGACTCATTTACAATATTTTACGTGAATATAGTGATTCAGCTTACCTTGACTAATTTCCCTCGTATAAAAACTACGACTACTACATTACAGTATTTCAACTTTACTAAATACGAGAATTCTCTCAAATTACGGTTAAACTTGAGACTCACAAAGGTCTGGTTCATCTGGCCCCACCGAATGACCGAATTCCGAGCGTCTATGAATCCCTTTTCTGTATTCTCTCTACTTGGGACAACTGGCAGTAATACGTAAAACTTAAGCAAACATTCAATTAATTAAGCAAACATGTGGAAAATAATGTGGTATGGTTAACATGCGGAAGTTGATAATTGATTTATTTAAATCTACAGAACAAAATGGATAACTTACAGAAAACCTTCGCCAGGGCGATGTTCTCCAGGATTGCCAACAGCGGCACGACAAACGTCGCCGATCCCAGCTGCGTGGCCATGTCGATGAAGTTGTAGGTTCGGTTGTTGACCGTCGTGGAGAAGGGCGGCGGCTGGAAGATGGGCAGGCCCTCTTTGACGGTGCCGGTGAGCTTGAAGGGCTCCGAATCGTGTTGCTTGAAGAGGAAGGCAACCACGGCGCACACCACTACTACGATGATGTTGCGGGCGGTGGAGATGAACCATAGGAATTGGACCAGCGCTTTCTGCACTCCTGTCTTCTTCTCGGAGTCTGCAGGCCCCACAGGGATGTCCTTCGCTTTCTGCGGGCAGAGGGACGCCATTCGGTACTTGAACACTAAAGTTCCGAAAGAGTTTTTAGTTTGCTTCCAATATGACCGGGTTTTGTACGAATTGCGTGAACTGGTTTGTGTCGTTTTGAAAACACAGTGTATTGTTTTTTGAACTGTTCAGTTGAATAGGTTCATGAACCGTACTGTATTTATAAAAAACAAGATTTGAAAATTAGTCATTATATATTTTAGAGAGCCAAGCTCTCTCTCTCTCTCTCTCTCTCTCTCTCTCTCTCTCTCTCTCTCTCTCTCTCTCCTCTCTCTCTCTCTCTCTCTCTCTCTCTTGTTATAAAAGTAACTGAGGTCACCCCAATTACTGCAAAGTATTTGAATCTTTTGTGTGATCGAAAACTTGTTTGAGAATGACTTATATGGAGTTGATAGGTTTCAAAGATCTACTGTCAGTAATCTCAACTATCAAATGAATAATTCAATGAAATCTGAATTAAATCATTTTCAATAAAGCAAATTGTTGCTTTCTTATATTACAAAGAAATGTTAAGGTAATATATTTTACATAATATCAGCTCTGTCAAATTCTGTACCTTTCGATCTTTTATTTTGATTCATATTGGATTCAAGAGAAAACACACTGGGAGAAATGTAGTAAAATGTACTAAACATATTGCGTAAGCGATCGTGTAGTAAATGAGGCAAAGTGAACAAATGGGAATTTGACATGAACAAAGAGAATTTCAGTGGTACTATACACATTTCGTAGATAAAATCTTGTGATGAGATTTATTTTATGACGTCACACTACTAAATACTTTAGTAAGAGCGCGTTGTCAGACATCTGACCAATTTAGAATTGGTTATAGAGCCCGTGTGAAGTGCGAGAATTCAACACTGAATGAACTATACGCTATATAAATGGCGTGTATAGTATTTTATTAGTTTTAAATAATTATATTATATTCTAAACTAATACCATCAGCAGCCAGTGTCCGGAACTGTTCCGCTTGGCCAAGTCAGGTAATCGGGGTTAAGGAAGTACGAGTCCACGGGGTCGTCGGATGGGTGACCACCCCGGAACCCACTTGCTACCTGTCTGAAGGAATAGAAAGAGAGTATTTCCTTTCACATTTCGTTTAGTTATTTTCACTGTAATGTGTTTAGTAAATTACCCGGTGTATTTAGTCAACGCATCGATTCGTTTAGTTATCTCCACTAGATGCCATCCGTCTCGGGGTACGACCTTATTGGTGAACATTACTATACGTGCATTAGTGTGTTTTATTAATAAATAATAGCACTTTCGTAAATGGGAGTAAGCACTTTGTTCTTCGAAAATATAAAATACCGTTTAGTTGAATCAAGTACATGATTAATTGTATGAACGAAACATTTCTGTCCTTGCTGATAATATTTTCCCCCGTGTCTCCAAGTCAATATCCTCTTTGAAACGTTCAATCAGACGTACAGGAGAAAAATATTCCTCTGAAGTAAACAGACACCAACAACACATTAGAACACATCATCTTGTGGCTGTCACTTTTATTATTTCCGATGAAAACTTATAAATAAAGAATTAAGAGTTGCGGTGTAAGTAAAATTATATCACCATTTCTCCGTCTGTCTTTTTCCCAAAAATAATCCATGAAATCCGTTAAAGATCAGTTTTTATTTTATATTAAAGTTCACAATCTTAGAGAGCAGATAGAATGCTCTCTAAGTGCAACTGTGTTGAGCAGTGAAAATTGTATAGCTCATATTACTCAAGTTATTTAAATAAAAAATGAAAGTTACATTTCCACAACGCATACCAGTCACGTCTCGGAAAATCTTCGTTACTTACAGTTTGCGATAAGAAAAGGTTAAGTCCTAAAACGGAAGCGTTGAACACTAGTCAATAGATTACTCTCCAATTATTAAATTAAGATCCTCTCGGTGCTAAGATTAGAAAATATGTTATCTCAGAAAAATTGCAAAGGAAACGTAAACATCATGAAATACTTCTTAAAATGAGATATCAATCACCATATCAAAAGTAATTTGTATCACTTTAACCCACAAATACATTAGTGTTTACAAATTCCTGTAAATGGACATATTATCGTCGTGATGTGTTATCTTTCAAAAACATTACATTTGTGTAATTAAAAAAACAACATAAAATACACCAAAATTAACTTTACGTCATATTAAAGAGTGCAATTAATACTATACGTTCGAGAAGTTTCAAGAAAAAAAAACCTTTCTGAAAATGCAGAATTTTGAGCTAGTTTTGACAGAAAACGGTTGAGTTTTCGAGAAGCTTTATATGATATTATTAAAAGTTCGTGTACTCATAAATATAATAATGTGAATTTTTGAGAAAATATTGTTTCTGTAATTTTTTAAATTACACTATTGCACGCTAATATAAATATAAAAAACGACGCGAGACAAGTAAAAAATATACATTTTTTAATTTTTGAAAAAAAAAACAAAAGTATAGAGCAATATGGCGTTTATGTCATCTTATAGAGTGGATTTCGCACATTCCCTAACAAAAGTGTAAAGAAAACATTTGGAGCCGTTTTTGAGAAAATTTTGAAAATGTCCGGAGGGTTTCATGTATACTATTCTCAACTTAAAAAAAGAAGATTTTTAAAGCTTCGACATGAGCCACATGGACACATTATTCATTTATGATAGATTAACACAAGGTATCTACTGCCACCACTGCTCTTAAATAACATTATAAGCTTAAAAAACACTAGAGCTTATTTATAAGTTTTACATATCAATATATTCTTAAGACGCTTCTTCATCGTACTACCAACTACTGTGATAAAAAATGTTTCTCTTATATTAAACGGTGTTGGCACATTGACCGCCAAACTGCTTCAAAATTGGCGCCTCGTTTCGAATAAAGCACTTTTGATGTTCTTCAAAGTCGTTTCAGAGAAAGGATCATTTATTTCAAACTTCCCACGTAGAATTATTTAATAAAAACGCGCGAATTTCTTCCCGGTTGACCAAATACTTCTTTCGTTCAAAGTTCCTTGACATAGATTGTCAACTGCTTCCTGTTAGTTCGAAGTGTCACCGAAAGAAAGCATCTCCTGGGCAGCTCCTAGTGTAGAAATCTTAGTACAAATGTGTTGGGCGCTTTCAGGGTTCGATTCAGGATGTGCCAGTCACTGGATGCGGTCGTAACGTGCGGTATGCGATTGTGAAGTAAAAACGAAGAAATTCGTAAAGAAACGTTTGATTTCATCTGGACAGAGGTAACCCTGATAATCTCCTTCAATGCTCGTTGATTCTTTCTCCAAGTAACAATATTTGTCAATTGTGTGTCGTTTCTTTTCCAGAACAGTCTTGTCTGATGAAAAACTATCGATAGAAGAGGCGATGTTTCCTTGCAGCTTCTACTAATTGCTCTCCCAACTTATCTTACGAGTATTTTGCAGCCTCAACAAACGGTTTTCAAAACCGTTGAAAACAATTTGGAAATAAAACACTGAATGTCAATATTTCCCCTTCCTAAAAAATGCTTTCCTTGGAGGTAAATATCTTTCGATATCTTTTCAGTTACGTAGCACGTGAATGCTCACCCGTAGCAGCAGCAGCACAGCCATGCAGGAGAAGCCGAGCACGCTGTCCCAAAGCCTGGTCTGGCCGATGTGCTCGAAGACGCGCTCCCACACCTCAAGGAAATTGCTGCCGGTAATGCTGAGCCCCAGTACGTCCTTCACCTGCGTCGTCGCGATGATGATGGCGGCGGCGGACGTGAAGCCCACAGACACCGGACCCGAGATGAAGTCGATGAGGAAGCCTGCAACAGCACGGGCACTGCGCTGCACTTCCTCCAGAGCAGTCAGGAAGTGAGGAAAGATGCACCCAAATGTGATAGCATATCGGGTAGTATGTCCACACATTCTCGTCATTAGGGAAATGTGATAAGATAAAAGTCTTCACATGAGAGAGAGAGAGAGAGACAGAGAGAGACAGAGACAGAGAGAGAGACAGAGACAGAGAGATAGACAGAGAGAGAGACAGAGAGACAGAGAGAGAGACAGAGAGACAGAGAGAGAGAAAGACAGAGAGAGACAGAGAGAGAGAGACAGAGAGAGACAGAGAGAGAGACAGAGAGAGACAGAGAGAGACAGATGAGAGACAGAGAGACAGAGAGATGACAGAGAAAGACAGAGAGAGACCGAAGACAGAGAGACAGGGAGGAGAGAACAGGAGACAGGGAGGAGAGGGAAGAGAGGGGGAGAGGGAGAGGGGAGGGAGAGGGAGAGGGAGAGGGAGGGAGAGAGGGAGAGAGAAGAAACAGGTAACAAAATGGAAGAGCGAAAAGGGAAGAGAGTGACAACGACAAGGAAGGGGGTAAGAGAGGCAAGCAGTTACAGAAGAAGGAGATGGGAAAAAGAAGAGAAAACGATGTCACAAAAAGAAAGGCGAGATAGCAATACAGCTACATAACTAGAGAAGGTAATTATGGAAATAATTAAGGAAAAAGTAAGAAGAGCGGAGCAAACGCGTCGAGTGGCGAAGAAATGACGATGAAGGCGAAGGGCCATCAACAATAGACAGAAGACGAAACGCAGCAGCGACTCACCCAGCTGTAGAACGCCCATGAGCAGCTCGACGCAGCCGGAGAGGAAGCACAGTAGCACGGCGAACTCGGGGCCCAGCCCGTGTAGGTTCTCGCGCGTGAGGATGGCTGCGATAGCCGTGGGGCCGACGGCGCTGTCCTTGCACGAGCCCAGCAGCGCGTACACGAAGCACGCCATGAACGACGAGTACAGCCCGTACTGCAAAACACCCCGCCCGCCCGTCAGTCAGTCTACCGCTCCACGAAGCCCGCGCCCGGCGGAACGCTAACTGTTCAGAGCGACGCACGGCTCCTTGAGCAAGTGTCTGACCAGAAACAAGATATGCGTTAAACTATTTCATTTCACGCTGACAGACTTTTACAGTGGATGCAAATACTTTGAAACAACTTTCTTCGTCCTTTATGCTGTACTCTACTCTTGCTAAGGCGCTCGTAGTATCCGTTTGTTACGGTGTGAATCCGACTAATTTTCGAATTAATTAGAAGTTTCTATTATACAAAATATGAGGAAAACGCAGGGAAAGCTTCCAAGCATACTTCCGTCCTTACCGAGATGTAGTTGAGATTAGCCAACAAGGTGAGGTTAGTGAAGTACGTTTGGTAGAGGAGGAAAAGCGAACTTGTGAGAAAAGGGGATCAGATTGCTGATGAGAAGTGAGTACGGATAGAGAGAGACAATTTGCGTAGCTTCGAGTTCCATGTGAATCGTAAATTTATATTCACTTGAAGCCCACAAACCTAACCTTACTCTGCTCGAGTTGCCACCTCGCTTCGTATTGCCAAGTTTGCGACGAAGACACTGAATATCTTCTTCGTCTTACACTCTCACAATCGCCTTACATTTAGTCAGTGTCCTTGTAACGACACCAACATGACCAAATAATCTGTTAATCGAAAATACACAGCTTTATTCTTACAAACAGACTAATGTGCAATTTTACGGAGCACTCCTGACAATAGCCATATTTTGGTCTGAAGTTGTGACGTATAAAGGAAAATACGGTATGAAATTGAGAGCACTACGAGTATTCTGCCGTTGGGCTTGTGGCTAGCTCTTTGTCAGCATGCTCGCTTTCCACTACGCGGCCCCGGGTTCGATTCCCGGTCCAGTTTGCGGTTTCTTTGCAATGACCCAGCATATGTTGGTGTGTGACGAAAAAAACTCACTTCTCAGGTTGAGAAGACCGGAATACGGCAAGGGGATGTCTACATGCTAACCACACGTACCCCCTTAACCCGTGTCCGCGTCGTCGCAGGTGGGCCTGAACCCGTTCACGAGTTGTCGCGCCAAATATATACATACATACATACATAGTATCGTTAAGTGAATGATTATTCGCAGAATGATTATTTATTTCTTACAAGATGTAGTAATATTACTCAAGTAAAAGTTTGATCAGAACTTTCAGTCTTATTTTTTTAAATAAATTAATTTAGTTCAAAAACAGTTTCTTTTAAAAATAATGCAGTCTTTCATTTTTAGGAAATAACAGAAGTTAACTTATTTGTTACAAATTATTCGTACATTAATAACAAGATTAATGAAGTAGCACAAAAGACAATGCCGCGACTAACAACTTCCACAGAATATACTTACACTCGTTCATGGCAGTCGCTCCCAGCGAAGAAATTATCTGAGGGAGCGGCATTTCTTTTATTATGAACAAGGAGTCCGTGCAGCATTTTATCCATGGAGCAATTTGCGATATTCATGGCGCTGGGTAGGAGATGGGAAAGGAGTGGTGGACTAGGAGCGCGCGGCGTCTGTCGCTCCTATGCACTTTCTACGGCGCCGCCCGGCGCGTCCCCTCCCGTGCCAGACAATCATCGCTCCTTGCGACGCTCTCATCTCAAGCACTGCGGGCACCTCAGTCAAGGCGGCACGCACGCAAGGAAAAGAAGGAACGAAATAGCTATAAGGGAGCATGCGAGATACACATTTCAGCGACGGCCGCATAGGCGTTTGGCGCATAGGCGAAGGCCGCATAGGCGAAGAAAAGAGGGGAGGCAAGGAAATGTGAAGAAAAAGAAGAAAATGAAGAGAGAAGGACAGCAGTGAGAGAGTGATGAGTAAGAAAGAGAGGGAGAAAGAGAGAAATATGGAGAAATGGAGGAAATTAAAGAGGGAGAAAGAGGGGGGAGATAGAAGCAATTAATCTAGGAAAACGTGTTCGCAACGCAGAATAAAATGAATGCACCTGCAATTGCAATGATTTCAAAGAGTGAAAGCAGTAAACGAGATCGGGGATAATGCTGGTTATGGCTGGTTATTCATTGTAGAGGAGGTATGGGTAAGGCTAGGGAATGTCATAAAAATAGGTCAAGCACTGTTCTTACGGACTGCAGGTGTGTCCGAATCCGTAGCAGAGAAATTGAACAGAGCACAATAGTTTTTCGTAGCAGTGCAGTGCGTTTAACTTAGTACTATCGTATTACGTAGATCTTTCTTTGTTGGCTTTTCATTTAATTTCACCTTCTAGATATAATTTTCTCATTTCGTGTTCCTTCTATTTCTGCAAATCTGACGCGAATTACGATTGTAGTTTTTCTCATCTTCATCAAATGCTCATCATTTAGTAACTGTAATGGGGAACGTGAAGAAGTGACAGAAGATGACAACGATATTGAGGCAAGAAGGGGCACACAATATTGATGGGGTATGGAAAAACTCCTAAAAAACTAACAAATTGTCCCTACTGTTCTATATCGTTCCTTTCTAACGAAACTACCGAATTTAATTCAGGCAGCTCTGTCGATGTTCTGCAGACTACTGGTCTTTTCGAAATTGTTTGTATCTCCAAAATCTCCAAAACGTATATGAATGATGAGAATGGATGCGGATATGAGCATCGGAATGCAGTATTTGCGATATTCATGGCGCTGGGTAGGAGATGGGAAAGGAGTGGTGGACTAGGAGCGCGCGGCGTCTGTCGCTCCGTTGCGCTAGAGTAGAGGAATTGGAATGAAATTCGAATTCGTGGAACCTATCAAGAGCAGCATTCGTTCGAAATAAATGAAACATGCAGTAACGGAATTTCACATTTTTTTCCATCTTCCTCAGAATGGTTTTGGGCGCCATCACTAATATTTGCATTAATTCCACTAATAGTTCCACCCAACGGAGGAACGCGAGCGGTCTGCCCGCTTCAACATCGATCACCCCGGAGGAAGCGGATGCGGCGTCGATGTGCAGCAGCGTACAATCCGCTCGCCAGCCGCCTCCGCCTCCTCCTCTGCCCTTCGCGTCACGGGCGCAGTATCCGTTCCAAACCTGAAAGTGCAGCCTGCTCCTCGCTCGGAGGCGGTTTTTTGTTTCGAGGCTTGCAAGGGGCGGCTTATCCCATGGAAGCCCCTCTGGAGACGGATGAATGCCGCGAGGGGTTTTTAACTTTCCATGCTGAGTGAGAAAGGGAATATTTATTGATTCCGGACGTCGCGCTTTCAGCGATAATTAGTGCCCTATGGTGGTAGTGGCTGCGCCGACCGATACATCTTCCGCAGCGGGGCCCCGCCCCTGCTGGGAAAATATCTAAGCTCCGGACTGTACTCTAGGCATAATTGTAATGGAGTAAATGAAAGTGTAAGGAGTGAGGAAGAGAAGGGGACAAGGATAAGGAAAGAAAGATCGCGCCCGATCCGTGGTCCGCTTGTTAAGGTTCAGCTCCGGCATTCGAGTGGTATTGATCGGAGAAACAACGCAAAACTACCGATCAGAGCAGCCTGCTGCTGGAATTCTCCTCCGGACAATAGTTGAAATCGACCCTTTCCACTGTGAACTAGCATTGGGATATTCCCACGTGAATTTGCTATACAATTTTCAATTTTAAACATACCATGTGTTTCTTGTGTGTTTGTATGGTTTTAGTAGAAAATTCTGTGTTAGGTTTTATGTCGCCTTCTTATATTCGGCCTTTCTGTGTTTTACATCATCCCTAAAGGCATACGGTCACTGGCAATCTCATCATTTGTACGATTTTCTCTCATCTTATTTATTCTTTATTGAAGAATATGTATTTAATTGCGAAATTGATGAGACAAAATAATCTATCAAAACAATTCTTACATATTAGGACTATTAATTATTTACTTATGTTTGCTTGTCTCTCATAATCGTCTCTACATTACATTACGTATTAATCGTCATGCAATATATTTTAAACTTACCAGGAATTAGACTTAAAGGTTATTATGAAGGAAAAATTACCAGAAAATTCCCAGATTTCCTTTTTTATGGTGGTTGGAACTAGAGTACACAAATCCTTGTTGGGAACAATAAGAGACGTAATTTATTATTTATGATCGCACATGGTGCTTACGGCACGGAAATTTCTTTTAATATCACGTGTCTGATATCTCCCAACTAATTGCAACTATTATACCAGAGCTCATTATTAACCATCAGCAATATTGGCAAAACGTGTGTACTCGAAGCCAAGAAAATTTCTCCCTCTGACTTGTTTGTGTGTAAGAGAAAAAGGAAGGAGCAAGGATGAGGGAGGAAAGATCACGGAAGATTCGGGACTCGTTTGTTGGGATGTTGCTCTCGCATTCTTCTGGTACTGAGCGAACCATGGTGAATTATCGAACAGAGTAGCCAGGCGCTAGAATCGCCTCCAGACCTGGCTGAATTCGATCGAGCTGTCTGCTATCTAACTAATGTAAAAACTATGCTACTGAGAAGTTCTCATAATCGTCGAAAACGAGAAGTTCTCAGTCAACGTTGTGGTCCATCGCTTATGTGCGGGCAACTCGTATGGCTCACAGCTTGTCGAGTCAGCCTGACGGGGGGAGACCTAGGGTGCGATGGGCTCTAGTCTAATAGCAACTGCAGTCAGGCCCGAATTCTCGCATTCCAGCAGCCCTCACCTCTGGCGGCAGACCGGCAACGTTCGCGTAGGCTATGGCCTGCGGGATGACGGTGAGGCCGACGGTGAAGCCGGCCACGAGGTCGGAGACGGCGGCGCCTGGGCGGTAGAGCGGGGCCCACGTCAGAATGGGCACGCGCTTGAAGAGCAGTTTGCGAGTGCAGCCACGACGGGCGCGCTCGGCGGCGCGACGAAGCGCGGGCGGGTACATGCTCCCGCCCCCACTTTTGCCCCCGCTGCCCCCGACCCCTTTCTCGCCGCTGCCACCGCCGATGCTAGGTGCCGATGTGGGCTCCGGCAACGTCACTGCCACGCCTGGAACAAAGTTGGGCACGTCTAGTCACGCTTGCTCATGTGGGGATCATCCGGCCCATTGGTGACGTCATGTGCGATGAGTGGTGGCTGTGCTGTTATTTTTGTTGGCGTTGACTGTCGTGTCAGAGCAGGTGGTCAGAAGACGTGCAACATTTAGTTAGTAAATTCAAAAAGAAGTGCCATTTGTTTAGGAAAGCTATACGTTGCAAAGAGCAGGGTTGATGTCTACTGAAATGAACTGCAGTTAAATCAAAGTTACTAAAATATACCAGGTTTCTTTGCAAAAGAAAGGCCAATACTTTGAGGTGAAGCACTGACAACAAATTCTCTTGTTCTCGCTCAGTCAGTTACATGATAACCTTTGTTATCTCAACTCGAGATTTCTTCCTCGCGACTCTAAAAATAAGACCTTAAATGGATTAAGAGAGCCGCAAAGCAAAAATATCATATTGTATATCTGGAGAATAAAAAGTCGGTTTGGAATACGCTAAATTAATTGCTTTTATCAACAGAAACTTATTTTCTTTCGTTATTTCAATTTGTCATCATCTTGAAGTTTTACATTATTGGGATCGTTTCTTACAAAACTATTTACAGACTCAATAATACTTGTTGTATGTTATTCATACTATTATGAACTACGAGAGAGATAGTTCGACATTACGAAACAGGGAATGGAATGTGTACTGCAACAACTTCTTTGCACATGACGCAATAAAATTTCTCTGATCTATAATAATAGTGCTCTCATTATATTCGAGGAGAACATAGCCTTTGGAATTATGAGCGCGTATCTCTCAGAAACTGCACTTAATTTTATATTAATAAATATTTACACATTGAAGACCCTGTGATTTTTGTGAATAACAAAATTCGGGAGAATTAGAAACAATATGCTAGCAATATTGAAGGAAATGTCAATAAAACCAACATTAAATTCTTCATTTCTGATATATACCCAATTGATATTCATTTGTATGTTAAATTAAATTATCTATTCTGGCTGAGTAATTGCAAGGCAACACTTCCATGACGGTGGTATTGCAAGGCAACACTTCCATGGTGTTCGTAATTTAAGCAGCCTCTACCCATACCTACATTAACAATTGAGGCATCCAGTGAGAGAGGGATCTGACCCACAAAATTCAAAATATCGATTATTGAACTTATTCGATTATGAACACAGATGTAACGGTACAAGCTCCTGCGTTGGAAAATGTACATGAAGAAAAAGAAAAAAATAGCAGACGCCCGCGACGCAGCTGCGAGGAAGGGGGGGTCGTAGGCATTCGTGCCCGTCCGTTTATTGAGGCGAGGGTTCTATAAACGTTTATGGCAGGACACCCCCGCGCCAAAGCGTGAAGTGTGCCGCCTATTCAAGCGACCGCTCATAAAATGAACCCCAACGCTGAGTGCGCCTCCTCGGGGGGGGGGGAGAATTTACAACTAAACGGTCAGCGGCGCACGTGCGAAAAAAAAAAGCCGATAGTTTTTTACAACAGAAACGGTCAGACACACGCCTCCACCCTACTCCGGGAAATTCAACCCCGCGTATCGGGAGGACACGTTCTTTGGAGGGAGGGGGTACCGAGGTTTGATGTTACTAGGCCACCGCTCGGTAAGCACTTGATGGCTGGAGACGGCCGGGAGTGGTCGATTTGACTTAATGGCTGGAGACGGCCGGGAGTGGTCGATTAGACTGGTTGACTTGAGACGGCCAGGAGAAGTCACTCGATGTTTTGACTCGGCCATGAGAAACCAATTGGTTTCAATCTCGATTCGATAGTTCGCTCACGATTATTCACTTCGCTTGCTCAGTTAATCAAGTAGCATTCGAAGCATATTGCGGAGGGAAGTTGTTTAACTTCCATTCATCGCCGATGAATACCGTGGCTGTCTGAGGTTGGTGACGCTGACTGGAGTCGTGGGCCCCGCGGGAAGCGCGGCGACATCCAACGGCCACGCTGGGAGCACCTGTGTTCACCGTCTCTGCCTGGAAGGGGGCGGCCCGAACAGAGACGACGGACGACTACACCACCGGGCGTGCAATGAGGCCCGCCAGCAGAAACGAGGGTAAAAAATGCGCTTGGCTCCCGCATAAATGCGGTCGAACACTTACTGAGCGAAGCGAGGGAGTGGAAAGGGCGCCTTCAGAACAAAGTAAACATGACGACCCATTGTTTTTTGTATTGTATTAATTTAAATAGAAGACCATGTCATAATAAAAGAAAGGGTCGTTTTATAGTTTTATTAAAAATTGTAAAATCATTGTAATTCATCATCATCAGCATCAATTTTTTAAGTAAATATTTGTTAACGCAAATGTTTTTGACCATTATTTATTAAAATTCCCATTCCCGTTCCAGACAGACACAGAGACGCGAAAGGGGTTACACAGAATTAGTTAATAAAGCAGTGTTTTGAAATTTGTGGGTTACCTCCCTCTCATGCTTCAATTCTAAGATACAGTTCTTTATCGATCATTGGACTCTAGTAATACATTACATACATAAGTGTACAATGCAAACTTAGTGATATGGCTTTAATACTTTGGCAATCGCGTACATTTAGAATAAAAGAAAAATATGTATTGGCTAATTCACTCTCTTGATAAGTGACGGGAAGAAAGAAATAGTTCGCATTCCTATTAGAAAAACTACTTCGAAAAATTATTCTAAATTGAATCTGAAATGAAAAAAAAATTATTTTTGTACCTTTAGAAGAAACTTCTAGTTTCCTACACACTCAGTTGCAGCAATTATCAACTTTCTTTCAGTGGCATTCACAGTTGTATTCATCGTTGGCTACGCCGCAACGTAGGCAGTATAGTAGTCTGGGCAACCTTCAGAATATGTTTTATTAAGCAACAGAACAGGCGTACTAAACAAAAGCGTTAGACACATTAATATCATACAAATACAGACGGCGGGGATTTTAGCTTGGTGTAGCGTTATAGCAATCAACAATAGTATCGATCTTTTGCGCACGGGCACTTCGAGTTTCGCATCATTTTCAAGCATCGAGACACTTGTGTCCCTTATGTCGACATAAATGAGTTTTAGCGCAACATGTATGGTAGTGACGTAATGCACTAAATAATGTGGCGTATCTCGATGCCATTATGTCTGGTCTTAGGTCTTAGGAACGATCTTATATTCCTTGATACGTAGTGCACGCCTGTACTATCACCTTATAAACGGCAAAATGGCAACCTAAAACAGGAAAAGCTGCATTTTTCCAACTCTGATAAAATGATCCTCGTATGTAAGGCAGTTACAATCATTCCTTACCAACTCCACAAACTCTGGCAAGAATTAACGGGAAATGTTAGCAAGGTGACAGGTACGAAATTAGCAATAAAGATGTTGGAAACGCATCTTCGCGTTAGGTTATGTCTCATGCTCATTACGAACTCTTTATCAGATATTCCACACATTTTGAAGAAAAGCAGATTCTGACTGAATACTCTTGGCGCAGGGCCGTGCACACTCGTCGTGCCGTGGTTCAAATGTCTTACCAATTGCCTTCATTCTTTGATATAAAGTCGACTCCGGTCTGGGGACTAACAAGTTTGGTTTACTATATCCGAATGTCAAAATTAAATAGAATTTCTCCCCACTGATTGACTTTATTAATATACAGGACAATTAACTGAAAATGTCAAGTCTTAAAAATTCAAAATTCAATTTAATATTTGCCCTTAAAAATAAGTTATTTTCAATTGTTTGCTTCCTACATTTTTCACTGGTATTTCTCTAGATCCGTCTCCAGAGTTCGTGCTTTTTCCATACTTGATTCTGCATTATCCTCTGAAGTTTCGAAATGTCGGCTTGACCCTTTTCAATGCATCTTGCACTGTTGGAACACCGTTCCACTCTCCGAAGGCTTTTCAACTCGCTGACATCCAATGCGAGATCCAATTAATTTTAAGGACTTATTTACTACGTTCACTAGAGTCGAGGTTCAGGTGCACTATAACCGAATATTCTTATGCTTCGTAAAGTATGTAAGTAAGTGAAATGGGACCAGTGACTTAAGTTCATTACAACCGAGGGATGACTATAACCGGAGTCTACTGTATTATAACGTGCTCTTAACTGCCTAGTAATTGAGTTGGACCCCAATATGTAGCTAGAGGTCGCCGCGCCGCGCACTCGTTGTTTTCCCGGGCGACATGCCACTCCGCACCACGTCCAGCGCAGACGAGGTCACGTGCGCCCTCCACCGCACTCAGGACCAAGCGATTTTTATAAGAATGAGCCCAAGTGACAGTTCGCTGAACAAGTGAACATCACGTGTAATTCAGAGAGGTATCCCTCCGCAGTGGCAGCTGTTCAGCCACGCCCCTTCGTAGTGTTTGTTTACGTAAAGACATCACTATAGAGTTTCGCTGAACTTATATATACGCGAGTCCGGGAAATATTGACATTTAATTATTTATGTAGAAAACTGTCTTAACATGCTCTCATATTCAGTAAAAGAAAACTGCCACTTATGTAAATAGAAAGAAAAAGTATTTTTAGGGGACGCTCAAATACCTTTTCTGTGTGTTTCACAGTGAATGGCTCATGTTTGTGTATAGTGAGGGGAATGGTTTATTTACAATTATTACATACCGACTATCAAAACTTAGTACTATGCTCCCATAACTCAAATATAACTTGTTTTATTAAATTGATTGATATGTCACTCTTGTTATGTATGTCAATACATTCCTTAACCTATATAGTATTGTTACGAATATTGCATCACCTGCCGAATTCGCTGCGCGTGGATTGCGTCATCTGCCGGCGCCCCTTCCCTTCCCCCCGAACTAGACGGTTCCGGACTATCAGCGAGCCGCGGGGAATCGCCGCGAATGTGCCGGGTGCCTGGAGACAAGCGCCGGGCAGGTATAAAAGCGCCGCTGCCGGCGGCCGTAAGTCAGACGTGAGTAGAAGTCAGTGGGTAGTAAGACGTCAGTGAGTGGCAGAGAAGCAGTCAGTCCGTCAGTGTGTCCGAAGTGGAAGCTGTGCTGTGAAATGTGCATTGCGGTGAAGAGTGGTGCAGCGGTTGAACAGCAGTCAGCAGTCTGAAGTCTGCAGTGGAAGCTGAGCTGTGAAGGGTGCATCGCGGTAAGCAGTGGTGCAGTGGGGAAACAGCAGTCAGCAGTTTGAAGTCTGCAGTGGAAGCTGAGCTGTGAAGTGGGCATCGCGGTAAACAGCAGTGCAGTGGACCCTGGTGTGCGCAGTGAAGTGTGGTCTGCGCAAGGAATTGTGGTCTGCGCAGGGGAATTGTGGTCTGTGCAGGGAATTGGGTCAAGTGCAGTGGACCGTGGACAGTGCATCGGACTGGCTGATACTGTAGAAGAAGAGAACAGTATAAATAAATAGTGTGTAAGAAGTGAACTGTGTAAATAAATCATCAAGAAAACGGAGTTGTGTGTAAAGAAAAATAATTACGTGTAGTATATCTGTAAATAGTAATACAGTATATCTGTAAGTAGATTTTAGTGTATAATTGTTCACGAATAAACGTTTTTGTTTAAATATTGTGTTTGTTTTAATTCACCACGGAGAAACGTTACAGTATGTCTATTTTCATCTCTTATTTGTAGAATGAATAATAAGCATATTCTTTATATTCACTCTCACCAATTAAAACATTTAAACAGTGAACACGATCTTTTACAAACAACAGAGATACACAGTATAATGATTCCATGTCAATTTCAGACCTCTATAAGAATTCAAAAGAATTTCAAAATGACAGCTTGTCAAATAGGAAAACCGCGTGCGTATCCATACATAAAATGTATCTTGATATATCCTGCTTCGGAAATTAGAATTTTCTCTACGCTCCGAATGAAACGTACAGAGCAATAAATATTCCAAATTAATAACTTCGATATTACACCCTTGAAGCAAATGAGAAAGCATGTACTTCCTTTCAATATTTGTAACGCTTACATATGCATTTGGCCCTCACTGGCTCGTTGGTTAGCGTGCTCGTTTTCCATGGCGAAACCCCAGGTTCGATTCCCGGTCGGGGCAAACATTAGTTGTGAACTTTCCTTGCACTGTCCCAGTGTATTTTGCTGTGTGACGATGAGAAGGCTCACTTCTCAGACTGAGAAGACCAGAAAACAGCATAGGGATGGCTGTGTGCTAACCTCTCGTACCCCTCTTTAACCCATGACCACAAGGCCACGACGCTGCTGGTACGCCATAGCCCGTAAAAGGCTGTTGTACCAAAGTACTTTCCGTTGTACCAAAGTACTTACTGTTGTACTATACTCACTTTCCAACATGTTAGCAGCATTAATAAGTACAGGCGATTCTCACTTTCTTGAAGAAACTTCACGAGAATGAATTTTGAAAACTAGTTTCCCCAAAAATATAACTTTTTTTACGACAAAGAGTCAATTTTTAACTTTCCAAGAATGCTGGTTGTAATAACATAAAACTACATTCCTTCTGCAATTATAGATTTTCATATTAAGAAAATACAAATAACAATAGTATTGACATTATTGTAAGTCCGTCTGTGGTTTCTAACTTCACAGAACAACGCACATGTTTCGCAGATTCCTCCTTTACATATAACTGTCTCAATATATCTGAGAAAGAAGGCTGCTCTGTTGCAGGCAGACCCTAGCAGTGTCAGTTGTTTATAAATAATCGTAATAGTCTCATTTCGTCAGAAGACTTCCCATTTTGGACTGTATGTGTGTTTCTGCGATTAGCATGACATAAGTCTCACGGTTGCATTATGCTCTGACGTCACGATGCGTCGTGTCATTGACGCCCCAAGTAGCGAGTCCGGCGGTGAGCGGGCTGTCTACGTGCGCGGGAGAGCAATGTTATTTAAATGTTATTTATGTGTGTCCCAATTTAAAAATTTGGAATATGTATACACAATTAGTGTAGAAATACACAAGCATATTTTACAATTAATTTACGTGTCGACCTGAAGTAAAAATTTGCGTTTTAAAAATTAAAATATATTTTAAATATATTAAAAATTAAAATATATTTTACCTATTTAAATAATATGTTTACAACACATATATTTACGTCACATCAGAGTAAATCTTTTTAAGTTAAATTGTAATGTAATTGTATTTTCCTAATTAAAATGGTATTTGAAACAAAATTTTAAACGTAAGCGCGCGCATGATTCCTTTGAAAAAGTGAATGATAATATTTCTAAAAAGGGTGGGATTGAAAAAAAAAGTGTCACCAAAGTGTCAAGACGCTAAAAAATAGTGATGTTTTGAGGGAGAGCGATTGTGAAATGACTAATGAACGAAACGTTCAGACAAGCAGTAAGATGTTTTAAAACGAGCATATTAGGAGAATATTACAGAAAGCATGGTGAAAACCAAATATACCCTTCTCCCTTCCCAACTACACCACATACCGTAACGACCGCCTCACCCCAAACGGATGCACGGACATCCTAATTAGAAGAAATATCCCCCATACTGAATTCCAATTCCACAGCACTACTACCTTAGAAAGCTCTGCCGAAATTGTAGGCACTCGTACAACTCCCTTAATTTTAGCCTACATTAACCCAAACACCCCTACCTGACTCAGACTTCACTACCCTCCTGAACCTCTCATACACGTTCATTCTCACAGACGACATAAATTCAAAATCCCCTCAGTGGGGCTGCCGGTCTCGCAATGTACCTGGACGAAGACTCGAAAACGTCTTAAATGTCCATCCATCCATCCAGCCATCCAAATCAAAAGCGCCTCTGAACCCACTCACTTCATCCAGGAGTGACGAAATGAAATCCTAGACATAATCCTCCATTCGGTAACTTAACGATTTCTACACCTATTCCAAAATTCGATTTCTTTAACTGCTCCGACCACCTACCCATTCTATACCCTACCACAGCTACCACCCTTTTCCACATTCCCCAACCTCCTCCCACATCTCAAACAGACTGGAAACCCTATTCTCGTATTCTTTCCAAAAAGATTTCCCCCCTCCTACCATATCCTCCACATCTGAAATAGAAAACCAATAACTCATCTGACAAAACAAATCAAAAGTGCATTCAGAAAAAAATACCACAATATCCAAAATCCTACACCCTACTCTTCCAAACGACATCCTTACAATAATCCGATAAAAAAGAAGGATACGACGACAATTCTACAAACACAGACTAGACGATGGCAAACGACTAAAACAACAACAAAGATAAATACACAACGTACTGATTCAACATGAACGACAAAAGTTTGACAACCTAACAGACAACGGCGGCTCCAACCATATTCATAAAATTATTCGAACGGTTAGAACACCCCCCACAAAAATTTCATTTCTCGTTACCCAAAACAACACCCTAAATTTTGATCCCCAAACTATGTCTGACACATTTGTCCAATCCCTGGTCATACTCTTCCATCCCAGAAACCTACCTACTCCCGACATTGTACCTTAACCTCCTCAAATACTGTACCTCCTCAAAATCCTTAAACCCACACACCCACCTCTCAACTCCCAATATCCCAACACAACATCAAAACCTCAAAATTAAACAAACAATTCAGACCATCACCAACAACAAAACTCTAGGATCCAACGGAGTTCTCCCTTCCCAAATAAAACATCCCTAAAAATGCAATAGATCTCACAAAAATTTATAATTCCTGTTTTTCCGTTTCCTACTTTCCAACAACTTGGAAAATTGCCCGCGTTACCATGCTCCCGAAACCTAACGAAGATCATCGCCTCCTTTCCACTACCGCCCAATCAACCTTCTCCACATCCTTGGCAAAATCCTTGAAAAAGATCATTCTTCTCAGACTCACCCCATTCTGAATCCCATTATCCGTCCGGTCCAGTTTGGTTTCCGGGAGGGCCGTACCCTCCAAACCTTGAACCTTGCGACGTCAGTAGCCTACTCACTCCACCATACGAGACAAAACCCCGCCATTTTTACCGACCTTTCTCACGTCTATGACACCGTTGCTCACAATATTCTCTTAATGAAATTCGACTCACACATCCCAACCCATCTGTACACCCTACAGCAAAACTACCTCCATCAAAGATTTTTTTGTATATCCGCCACCTGTCAAAAATCTTCTCCCAAATAACCCGTTCCTATACGCCGCTGATTTTGCTTTGCTCTCATCCTTCCTATCCTTGCCCCTCTCTCTCATCCAACTTCAAAAGTGCCTCAATTCCCTCCCCTGGGCCTGCGAAAACGCCATCACCATCAACGCGAAAAATGACACGCCAATCGATTTTATTTTTATAATACCCCACTTCTTTTCCACCCACACTTGACGCCCACAGTTAAATATCTTGGTATTCATTTTTCTTTCCCACTGCTATGAACCGACCATGTAATGCAAGCCATAACAAAATCGCCACCGCAACATTAACATCCTACAACCCATCCTTACACACTACTCCCTTCCCACCAATAAAAATTTCACAACTTATAATATTTATATCCGCCCCATCCTTACCTACGTCCACCCAACCTGGTTTCACACCTCAGTCGACAATCGCTATTGAATCACCCGCCTTGAAATTAGAATCTTTCGCCTCATATTCCGCCCTCCACCTTCCACAAGATATAACGACATCCAGTCCCAACATCAAACTATCCATATCTTCACCTTTCTTCACAATTCTTCCAAAACCCAAAATCAAAGCTTCCTTTCAGATCGAACCTATAACCATCTTCTCACACTCCACCTCCACGTTCTCCAAATTATCCCAGAAGTGGAAGTAACACCCCAAACACCCCATCGAAATCCTCCATGTACCAACTCCACCCACGTAAGACAGAAACATAAAACTAACTCCCTACTAGACGCCACACAGACAGAATAAAACATTTTTCAGGTAACGCAACTAAACGAACCACGTAATCCAAGAAACTATAATATGATAACCCGTCACCCATAGCTATCAGTAAAATAACTCCATCCCTGCTCCTGAAATTACAACCACAATAAAATAACCAGCTCACTGGAAAGAAACGGCATACGCCCGACTGCACCAACACCCTAATAAAAGAGCCCGTCTTTCTCCTATCCCAAATAACCCATGTAATACCAAATCCCATCCGTTAACCTAATGCCCGTCCTCGTGTGGGGGAATATGACCAACAAGAACCGTAGAAGCTACCCCATCTAAAAGGCTCAGAATGAAGAACCAGAAACTTTTTGGCAGGCATTTACAAATAACAACAAACCCAATGCAATATTGATGTTCGTATGTACGTATGTACGTACTTCACGCGACAGCCCGTGAACGGGACTCCGGTGAACGGTCGGCCCTGCCTCGCGGCCATGGGTTAAGAGAGAACGTGTGGTTAGCACGTAGACATCCCCATTAGCCGTATTCCAGTCTTCTCAACCTGATAAGTGAATATTCTCACCACACAGAAACATATACTAGGATTTTGTGAGGAAAACGCAATCTATAATATTGGTTCGACCGGGAATCGAAACCGGATCCGCGTGGTGGAAAGCGAGCATGCAAACCAAGAGCTAGCCATAAGCACAATTTTGATGTTTGCTTGAAAATAATTAGATATCGCACCTAATGTTCTACTATTTGCAGAATTAAGTATCCCGGACCCTGTTCCTAATGCCCCTTAATTTACAGCTCTGTAGAGTGCTGTCGTCTATTGGAAACGTACAAAAACGTACAAAACAATTTTCAGAGAGATTTTCATTTGTTAGAGAAATTTAATATTTTGCAATTTTAAATAACAAAAGATGCTCTTTCGTTTAATGTATGTATTAAACGTACAAAAATAGAGGTTCTGTGCAAGATCAAGATCCCTGTCAAGCGGTAATGACTTCATCTTCACTTGTTGCCGGACGGTCGGCCATTAGTGCATACTGTGATAAACAGAGTTTTGCCAAATACTTATTCGCAGTTGCCTGATTTCGCTACTTCATCGGTAATTTTTCTAAGCATTACATTATTTTGAAGAGGACATTACAAGCTATTGATGTAAGGTAAAATAATTTATTTCACTTACCTTATAAATATATTATTGGCATTTGGAACATAAACACTCTGATGCCTAACTCGAGCTCCCAAAAGTTTCCTCAATTTTTGTCTGGTGAAATAAAAAAAATATTTACGGTAATTGGCACCCCTTATATCGCAGGAATCCAATAAAAAGCAAGAGCCGTCTGCTCTGAATTCGAAATTCGACCAGAGATATCTCCCTCTCACGTGAAGATGATGCAGAGTGCACGCTTCGCAGCGTAAAATTTTCAGAGCGCTGTGGGAAAACTATGGGTGAACAATGTGCTCACTCTGGGCTCATATATCATATATGTGGAAGCGAAAAAAGATACTTATAAATGTGACTTTTGTCGCACTTGAATATAAGACATATAACACAATTTCTCATATATAAGATATTACACTTGTATTTTTGAGAAATTATTGTACGCTCAATATATTTTCATATTTTCCATTTATTACACATTTCTTTAAACTTTTGCGGGGGGCTCACATTAGGAAACCCGTTTTTTAAATCTACAAAATGTAATGTTTACGAATATAATTTTTAGTTCTTAAACTACTGTGCCAATAACTTTAAATAGAAAATAAGATTTGCATAACTAAGAAAGATATGAAGTTCAAATATTTTGATTTATTTTGCCGAAAATTGAATTTAATAATATACGAAAACAAAATGTGGGCCTGGATTTGGGTATTTTCCTCTAAGGAGCTTTACAAAAATTGATGACAGATGTATTAATACGGGCAGAAATTGCTGTATAGTAATTCTAAATATACAATGTAGGCTTTCACGGCCGGTTTCCATATCAAAATCAGTTGTTTCCGGGCTTGAAGGCCGTGGTCCAATGGAGACTTGTCCATACGTTTCGCCTGCAACTTCGCCAACAAGGACACTTCGCCCCCGCCAGCAACGCCACTGAGGATGCCTGCCACAGCTGCAGGCGAAACGTATGGACAATTCTAAATAGCCGTTACTAAGGGCGAGAAAGTACATATTGTTTTAGCACTACTAGTTTTGTTTTTTTAGGAGCCTCAAGTGTGTGGGGAAACCGCTTGCGCTTCAGTGCAGTGCAAGAGAAATTGTTATTTAAGAGGTAAGTGTTGTAAGATGTTGCGGTATGAATGAATACTTGACTCCGTTTTATCCACTCTGTAAACATTACAATGTGTATACTAGAATTGTCGCCACATTTTGTTTTCGTATATTATTAAATCCGAATTTCGGCAAAATAAATCAAAATATTTGAACTGCATATCTTTCTTAGTTATGCAAATGTTATTTTCTATATAAAATTATTGGCCCAGTAGTTTATGAACTCTCATCTAGCGAAATGTAGTAGAGTAATGTTGATAGTAGTTAGTAGAAAGTGATGGATTAGTAGAACATTTAAGTTCTTATATTTTATTTTTTATATATGGATTCCTTTTAGAAAAAGTATCTCATTTCTAATGTTCTAAGTCCTAATGTTGGACTTTAATTAACCAAATAGGATACATTATATTAAATACAACCAGGTGGACCCGAATGATCATTCCGCACTTTGTACATCATTGCTTCAAAAGTGAAAATGGCTTCATGCTGGAGGATAACATCGATTCTTTCTGACAACCCTTAATAAGAAGAGAAAGTACCTTCAAAAATGGGATAAAGGGAGTAAAAATGTGATAAAGTTTGAATGGATTACAGCATTAGGAACAACTCGTTTCTATTTAGATATGGAAATCCGGTGTCGCGCGTAATGACATAAAACGCATTGTTTTCGAGTGATGCACGATACTAAAGTAAATTAACGTGTGTCAAAGGTTGCATGCGTGCTTTTATATATATATCTGCAAACTTGTTTGTTTTCATCTTAAATCCGTTCTTTTTTGTCTGATGCAGGAATGACCTCTTCCAGGTCAAGTACACTTATGGAGTTTATTGTCAGTGGTTTGTTATTAACGGTATACAATTGTCATCTTTCCTTGCAGTATTATATGAAGATATGACAACAAAGTGTTTCGCTTCTCCTTTCCCATCTCTGAAGTCTGCGGGATGTAACCTGCCCAGAAATGATAGTAAAATAAATTATTGCGAAGCAAGCGATATGTGCAGGAGTGGAGATTGTTTTGCACTTTTTGCTACTCTTCAGGAGGATTTGCAGAAGCAAACTCTTCTACGTAGCACAGTTCAATCATCATATATTTTTTATTTTTAAAATATAATTCAATAAATCTTTAGAAGAAGAATATAAAACGTGTTTTAAATTACTTCTTGGTTTTTGAAATTAGTGTAATGCAACAGTAACCTGAGACAGACAGCCTCATTTTGATACAATGAAGATCACTCCCTCAGCCACAACCTCTATTATACAGTAATCATTATTTTCATTTGAAGCTCCGAGCTAAAAAAAAAGCGTTCAACATCAATTATAAGAAGATGGAAGTGCAAACTTAACAATTTGTCTCAAAACGGAATAAACAGAAGCCAAGCGTGCAGCTTCTGTCTCCACGTGCCCAGCGGTGGCTTCGCGAAAACAACGTCGAAGCGCCTCCCGCGCCCGGTGGCGTCGTTGGCAGCGGCGCGGCGTGGGCGCGGCGCCGGCGCGCACCGCAGCTGCAGGGGTGGGCACTGGCGAGACAATAGACGCACGCCGCCGTAGGCGCTACACCGTTACGACGGTCCCAGTTCGAAGCTCGGCCTTGGCGGTCTGCACGCGACACAGCGTCGCAACAGGGCGCGCTGTCTGTCTCTATCTCTACCTCCGCCTCCGTGGCGCGGCGCCGCACCGTCCCGAGCCGCTTGCAGCGAGAGAAAGCGCTCGCCACGCACTCTGACGCCTCGCAACGGAGAATATCTTTTCCGAGTAAAGACGTCGCAATACTATTTACAATACTACATTTTCGACAGGTCTTTCACATCATGGCATAATGGAAATTTTTCTCTTTAATGCCCATTAATTGCCCAAAATAGGGCAGTTAACAATGGGGCAGGCACAATTAACTGCCCAAAATGGGGCAGGCAAATGTGGGACATAAACGATATGTGCGACATGAACGAATGGGACAATGTGCTAGAGCTTTGTGAACAAAATTATGTTGGGCGTTAATAGGTTAAAGACGTATAATTTTTTTTATTTACAAATTTTTTTTTTCATTTGAAGAAATTGAGCAGTATGGGAATTTTTACTTTCGATTCAACCAGCAACCAAAATTTTGCTTTATAATTTGAACAGTATTAATATGTTTGTTTTTGTTTTCTTCATCAATGTGAAAAATGTACATTATCGTTATACGAATGCGAAATAAAATTTTACTATGTTAACACGGACGGATTATCATGTCAGTCGTCGCCTTGTAAATATCCAGAGAAGTAAAGAAGTAGTTCATGACGAAAGTATTCGTTATATGAATTATGGAAATGTTAAAGAAAACCGAGTTAACCCCAAAGAACAACAAGATAATAAAACCATACGTTTTTTAATAGTAATTACGTTAATGTGATATTGCAACGCCAAAGGGTAATTGTGAAATAGCATTACAAGATTGGTCAACATGTACAATTACTAGTATAATTTGTTGTCAAGATGGAGAAGTCACGATTTTAAATTCAATTTAACTCAAGAAAAAATGTTTGGACAATTCATACGATGTTGTAATCCTAACATTTAAACTTATAGTTATCTTCGATTTCCTCCAATGCAAATTAAATAAACGAGGCAAAATCTATAAAAAAAAGACTGAGAAGACATTCAAGTAGAAATGTATCTGCTCTCCACTTAATCACGAGCAGAGTTTAGAGTGCACGACATGTGTATGCAATGCAAACTCACTTCATCCGCAGGCGATGATCTTGAATTATAAACATTACTTAAAACACAAAAGCTTTGCGACAAATATACATGATGTAACTGAAGTTAAACTGAAAATTGTTCGTCCCCGTCTGTATCAGTCTCTGTCCCTGCCCGTCTGTCCCTGTCTGTCTCTAACCGTCTGTTTCTGACCGTCTGTCTCTGACCGTCTGTCTCTGGCCGTCTGTCTCTGGCCGCCTGTGTCAGTCTCTGACCGTCTGTGACAGTCTCTGACCATCTGCGTCAGTCTCTGGCCGGCTGTGTCAGTCTCTGGCCGGCTGTGTCAGTCTCTGGCCGGCTGTGTCAGTCTCTGGCCGGCTGTCTGTCTCTGGGCACAATGCTTACGCATAAACCGTTCAGCTGATTTTTCTCCCAAATTGATATTACCCAATCGTTCTAGCTAATTGCCCCAACCCTGGAATTTGAAACCTAAATTTTGCAAAAGTTTAAAAACAACGGATCCCAATTTTTTGATTAAATTTTGGTGTTGAATAGTGCAAAGGACGTTTAAGAGAAAGGTGCCGGTCTCATTTTGTTGACATCACATTGTTGACATATTTAAAAAATTGACATATATAACTAGTATGAAAAGTATTACGTAACTATTACTAAAGGCGAGAAAGTATGTGGTCTTTTAGCATCACTAATTTTCTACGATCGACTGCCAGTCATAAGAGTGAGTACCTTTGAACTGTTTGGATTCCCACATCTACAGGGACATTGGAACCTCACCATTTTCACGCATTTGAACCGCGGAAGCAGGAAAAACCTTCACTAGCTTTGTACCGTCATTAACGTGGGCATCGTATTTGCAACGTGCCTTCAGCCATCTGATAAGAGATTTCGCCAACGAGACTGGTCACGTCGCCGCAGAGCTGAGCGGAGCGCAGAGGAGCAGAGCAGAGCTAGGGAATTCTTGAGAGGTGGCAACTCACCTTCCTTTCCCTTCTTATCCACCCGCACCCATTTGAGAGGCAGTTTTCGATGCATCGGTGGCATTGCGCCTGACCTCTTGCTCAACGCAAGCGCAAGGAATCTTTCGTATCAACCCGCATGAGATAATAATGATTGATGCCAGGAGTCACTTTGGGTGTCATTTGTAGGAAGTTGTGAATTGATGGGCCCAGTAGAACAAATGGCTATTCCATTTTTTTATTGTGAAATTGAGTTATTAAGCGTTAAATAAAACTTCAGATAGTATTATTTTAGTGTAATTACGTTATTCATATCCAGCATGGACATATATGCAAGTGCACTGTATCTTCAGTATCTCAGAACAAGGTAAATGGTATAGCCACTTGTTCTTCAATTAGGAAAAAAGTCATATAAGAAATGTATTGCAATTTGGTTCTTAAAACAGTACTTTTATCATTCACCTAATAATCTTCGTTTCGACACTACTTTCAAATCCAGTTTCCTTACGAAAAAAATTAGGAAACAAATTCTTTGAAGATTATTTGGTGAATATATTTATTTTTCTTTCACTTCCATGAATTTCTTCGTTTTTGAATTTCGATACGCTCCTTTTGCATTGACTCTGACCATATGATAGGGCAGGTCTATCGCAACAAGTCTACGTGGAGGTATTACGATGAGAGGTATTACTGGAGTGATGATGATTTAGAATTTTTCTCAAAGATATTATTTAGACTTATGGTTCTTTTAAAATATGCGACATGGAACAACCGGCTTTACTTCTTTTCCAAAGGAATTTTTACCCTTCAAATTACAAGAATTTCATCGGGTTCGAACACACAAAATTGGGAATAACTGTCGGATACGCTCACAGTTACCCCATTCAAGCCGTTTTTACATAAATGTCACTATAACAAAATAACTACCACTCTTTTGAAGAAGGAAATTGTATCAACATTAATCACAGATAAACAAAAACTACTTATTGGTTACGCACTAGGAAGTAGAAGGTATTGCCTTGACTGCTACCAGAGACGGATGAAGAAAAAAACATGTTGGTGATGGTATAAGAAACCAGCGGCAACACGCTAATTTCGTGTTCTACTGGTACGTTCCAATTGAAAAAGCACGGAATTATCGGGCAGTTGATAATGGGAATAGCACGGTGATCAAACAAACACAACTTTGCAGTTAGTTATATTGTTACATATATTCGAAAAAACGAGGAAATTATTTTGTAAGGAAGAATTATGATTTTTTAAAACTTCATTCCGATTAAAATGTATCAATTTCTTTCGCGAAGATATCTATGAAGTCTTCATTGAAAGTTCTGAAATGAATTAAGTTGAGTACAAGTAAATAGAGCAATTATAATGAATTTCTAACACTTAAATAAAATTAACAGTTGGAGAACAATACATTGGTTTTCGTGTTCGTCACACACCCAAACAAAAGGTTCGCTTTCATCTCGGGCATTGATATCTCCAAAAACAAAGCAAAGGATTCGTAGTTTCAAGATTTTTTCTTCTTAAATATTTCGGTTACCCTTTGGTATTAAATAGCATATAATAGAACATCCCACTTTATAACATACATTTTTTACGTACAATTACTCAGGGAAGTTACGGGTGACGGTAAAAATAATTGAACTCTTGATAGCACAGAAAAAAGGCCGTATTAAACCGTTGAAATGGCTGGTTAAAAATAAGATGAAATGAGAATGTCGGTTTAAATAAATTTATTAGTCCATATTGGAGTATTCCGCATTTAATCCTTAGAAAAACCGGAAGGCAAAGAACAAGTAATTTTTTTCACAAAACAAACGGCAAAATAACAAGTTAGAAAACAGCATCGCTGAAAAAATACAGAATAGTTAGTTTAAATTAGTTACGTAGTACATTTCATTGATATAAATAGGATGTGCACTTAACCCATGTCGTAGAGAAGGAGAACTGCTTCCGGGACCTTTCCCAAAGCAGTGAATATATTATTATTATTATTATTATTATTATTATTATTATTATTATTATTATTAATAATACTATTATTATCATTACTATTATTATTATTGCCGTTCGGAAACCAGCTAGTTGTTAATAAAAACACAAAACGTATTGTCATGGAAAATATAAATTAATTGTGTTCAAGGTGTAGTGTTTATTTAGAAAATTCCAATTAAATATCATTAGCCGCCAAACACACACAAGTACCAACACGATCGTGCGTCCTCCGAGTGTGCTCCCTCGCAAATTCTGTCGGTGGCTGCGCGAGGCGGAGGCGAAGGCGGATGGCGAAGGCGAAGGCGAAGGCGGCGAGGGCTGCGGGGCGTCAGCACGGCCGCCAAGGCAGCCTTGGCCGGCGCCGCCCGCGACACAAGCCCAGTTTGAGCGGCGGGCGGACGGGCGCCTGTTTGCCTTCGCCGCAGCCGCGCCAATTGGAGCAACTGTGCCGACGCGACGCGACGTTCCTTCGCTGAGGTTCAAGTCGCCTCGCCCGTTGCACCAGACTGCAATCGCTCGGGCGTCTCGGGCGAGGGGCACTGGGGGACGCGTACTCCCCTATAATGTTTTCAAATACCTATACATCTAGTAGAGATTTTACTGAAGACAGTAAAATTTGTGGATTTTAGACAGCGTGTAAGCTATTTACGAAGCGATTTACGGTTCGATTACCGGCCGGGGAAAAATGAAGCTTCTATTACAAATTGCTTCAGTTTCTATTGCTGTGTAAGGAAAGAAAGCTCATGAAATACGCTAGGTGCGCTGATGTGAATATATCATGCACGCCACAGGCCTCCCTATTCCTCATGTGTATAATAAATGAAACCGGGGCTCTGACCTACGAACACCGCTAGCAAGCAGAAGTCGGATTACTCCGCCTTTAAAGTGCCAAATACACACACACACACACAGTAAAATGTAACGGTTGTTTGTTACAGAATATTCAGTCAACCGATAACACATTGTACATACGTGGTGGGTGTCGGCGAGCGAACAAGCCGTCGAATTGCAGAAGAGGACTAGTCGTACACAATAAAGATGCCACAGATGCTGCCTGCGGCTGCCAGAAGAAAGGGCTCACTGCAATCTGCTACTGAGTTCTTTGAAAAACGAAGCCGCGGCGGAAATCGTTTTTTTCCGATGAAAAAATTTTCACTGTTGATGCCAAAATCAACCGGAGAAATGATCGCTGGCTCACCCACGACTACAAGGATGTACCGATTGTTGCTCGAACAAAATTTCCGACTAGTGTTCACGTCCTAGGTGTTGTGTCCAGCGAGGGTGACATCATGCAGCCACATTTCTTTGAAAAAGGACAAACTGTCACAAAAGAACGTCTGTCACATCTGAACTTTGTAAAGGATGTTGTGGTACCATGGATGGTAACTGTGGCCGCGGGGAGAGAATGCGTCTTTCAAAAGGACGGTGCATCGGCTCACACGAGCCATTAAGTCCAAAGGCAATGCGGACATGTTCTGGTCCAAAGAGTTTTGGCCCCCGAATAGCCCGGATTTAAATCCCCTCGACTACTGAGTTCGGAGCGTTGTTGAATGGGTTACCAACAAGTTGAGGTACCCTGATGTCGCGTCTCTACGCGCCGCTATCGAAGCAGCATTCGCCATTAGGGACAGAGAGCGTTGCGTTACAGAGAGCGTGCGAGCGCTTCAGGACAAGGATGGAGGCAGTAATGGAGGTCAATGGCGGTTACATTGAGTAATTGTGCTCCTAACAGGTTACACGAATATTGACTAAAACACTTTCTTTTTCGTTCGTATTTGTGTCAATAAATTACATTTTAAAACAAAGTTAAATTACAGAATTACCGGATTTAACCGCAGCAACCACATAAAAAGCAATCTTCATAGGTATGAAGCAACTATTAATACTTCTTGTTGCTGCGAGATCATTTAGGTTTATTTGCATAATTTTGAATCAATGATTATGCAAATAAACCTCATCAGTCTGAGAAATCCACGGTGTACAAAGAAAGCATACATACTATACTTTGGAGAAGTCTAAGCCATCTTTCTATGCCTGACATCACAAAGATCGCTTCCGGCTCGGAGTGATATACTTGGATTATACCGATAAGCGCCAGACCAGCAAAAATGTAATAAAATGCCCAAGAATATCGTGTCCTATAGATTACAACGTAAGAAACGTTTCTTTGACGCGATTGGCCTGAAAATTGTAAATTGTAAGGCGCTAAAACACTTTGTTTAGGAGTTATTTAACGATGTAGATTCAAAAATCCTAACAAGTGTTACGGGCTGCATTTGACATGAATATTTAAATGTTTTTTTGTAAACAATCCTACATATTTTTGAATTCAAAGTACAATTTGTAACGTCTTCATGAAATTCTCTTTCTTTAGAGACCTTTATCAAGATTTGTTGCGTGTGAGAGGCTCAAAAGATATGTGTACTAATGAAATAATACAGGTGACTATTTGGTAAATTTCATCAGTAAATGGTAATCAGAACCATGATTTGTATTTGTCTTTCAAACAGCTGGCAACAAGAAAAACATGAAAGATCATGTACAGAAAACAATAAGCTCCGTATGTAAACAAATAAATAAATGAGCAAAAACTATCAACTCCAAGGGTATGATAGTATTCAATACCTGAGATCTTTTGGAGGGTAAGTCGTTTATAATGACCGTCTTTGGTATGGTCTCAATTTTTTCGCGATATTGGCTGAAATTTCATGAATGAAATAGTCGCCGCAAAATCAACTTTTCTATGTAAATTATTGACCAATAGTTTCAAGACAATGTACAGTGAGTAGAAATCGAATTAAAATAAGAAACTTATTGAATTTAAAATTTCTTTAATGGAAACTCCCCAATGGATAAATCTCAACTGCAATAGCTTGAACAACCACCATGTAAATACAATATACTCTATTATTACTTTCACTGCTGGAGAATAAATGCTACTTTTGCTAATCTCTATGTTGATATCTAGATAATTATTTAATTTATGGCTTTTTTGATTGAATCGAGCAGTACCGTGACTCAAGTGACCGTGCCAATGTGTTAATATATTTACCAATCTGAAAACATGCTTCCCCACAGTTTTAC